AAGTAAAAACAATCTAAAACAACAGGTTTCCCACTTCACCTTATGTACCGAAACACTTAGTGCTGAATCTGTTCTCCAAAAACTGCAATATCTGCAAATGTAATTACTGGAAGAATTAGCTGTGCTACTTTTGGGAAGACTCAACTTGTTTGAATTTATGTAACTTTGTTTGCACTGTATTTGAATATGTAACAATTATTTTCCAAACTTTCAGAGATAGGGTAAATATCTTACATTATAAAGTTCCTAATTAATGAACAGAACATATAGTTACACTATCATACACTTCATGCATTCACATATTTACTAATGGCCCAGGATGTCATTGTATGGGGAGAATGTACCCCAGAGCAAAACAGGAAAGGGTCTTTGCCCTCGTGGAACTGACCTTCTAGAGAGAAAGCTCTAATAGTAAGCATGATGAATAAATAAATTATATGTATGTTAGAATATGAAATGTGTTATGAAAAAACATAACAGGGAAAGAAGTACTGGAAGTCATTGAAAATGTCTTAAACCCCAGTAGCAGATAAACTATTCATATCTTTGAGAATCTCAGTTAATATCAAATACAATTCTTATGTGATTAAGCAAATGTTTTCACAGGCCTTTTCTTTAAAATGTGTGTTAATTTGTTATTTTGGAACATGTTTTTATTGAGCAACCAAAATGTCCAGCAATGTACTAGGTCGTGGAGATATAATGGTAATAAGACAGCTGTGGTCTCTGTTCTCATGGAATTCAAGTGTACAGTGAAAGTGACAGGCAGACACAGCTGTAGGCTGTTACATGGTAGGGAAGGGCAGATGCTTTCGGAGTGTGGAGGCAGGGCCTTTGACCTTGTTTTTGGAAACAGGAAAGGCTTCCTTTGAGGAAGTATTTATAAAATGAGAGGCAGGAATGTGCTGGCCAGGGAAATAGTGGAAATACAGTTCCTGGAAGATAGAACTTTGTTTTGAAGCCATGGAAGTGAGAGAGAGCAGGACAAACATTCAGAACTGAACGGTGTTCCATGTGGCTGCAGCCAGGAGTCTGGGAACCGTGGTGACTTCCGGGGTTAGAGCTGGGTGGGTGCCAGGCGAGCAAGGGGCTTACAGCCACATGAAAGAGTTTAAGTGTATGCTAACACCGATAGGAAACGACCAAGGAGTTTAAAGTGTGAAGCCTTTTTGAACAAGTGGGACTTGACGGACAAGCATGGGAAACAAGTACTTTCTCACAGTTGCCCCTTTCAATTCAGCTGTGTGGACTTTCTCTGTCTTTGGAGGAAATTTGAGATTTCCAGTTTCTATAGACTTTCCTGTCACTCTTAAATACTCTCAAAGGTAGGTTTTGAGTGCTATCAAGCCCCTCTCTCAAGCCCATGCTTCCCCTGATTAGCACTGCCGACCAACTTCCTGGCTGAACTTCTTGTCAGAAATGATTAGTCTTCCCCAATTCTGCACCCCCTTCTTACACTTCAGTCTGATGAGATCGGCATCTGCACCCACTTTTCCACTGAAATTTCCCTCTTCACGGTCATCAATGACATCTCTATCTTTAAACCCGGAAGCTAGGCTTTAGTATTTATGTGATCAATTAATAATGTTTGACATCTTCACAGACCCCCTCCTGCTTGAAATAATCTCTTCACTTGGTGTAATTGACGCCACATTTTTTTTTGTTTGTTTGTTTTTCATCTCCATTTTTGGCCATTCTTTGACAGTTTCTTTTGCAAGTCAGTTTTTGCTCCTTCTGAACATCTGTTCCATTATTAGTGTTACTCAGGGGTCTTTCTAGGCCCATTTCCTTCTCACCCCTTCTATTCTCCCTCGGCAGTTCTATCCACTCCCAATCCTTCACTTACCTTCTATTGCTGATAACCCCAACATTAGTATCTCAGAAAAGTATTGTCTGCTCAGTTCTAGAATGTTTGCAACCGCTGTGGTGGAGAATCGGAGAGAGTGCCAACCAGGGAAATACAGCATAGTATTAACTGTGCTGAGTTCCCAGTTGAGATTGGTGACTATTATTTAATGTTGGCAACAATCTGCATAGTTTGGCAGACACTGGGTTTTCTGGATTTTGTCAGGTGGGTAGACAGAAAGGCAACAGAAGAAGGAAGCTGAGGATATTGTCAACAGCATGTTGGGGGTGCTGGACTAACCTGGATAGGTAATGAAACCTGTAGGGCATTGGTAAAGATAGAGAGGGAATATTAGCCTGTTCTTTGGAGGTCTTAAAGAACAGTTTATTTGTACTGATGCATAAGAACGCTGGAAGGTTACAAAGTCATGGTGAGAGAGTGAGTTGTCTAAAATGATCATTTCGGAAGGGAAGGCATCATTGTCTAGAATACGGGCATAAAGCGCATGGCTGCATACAATTGGAGGAGATTGTACTGGGAGATGGAGAAGCAAGGAAGAAGGAAGCCAAGTTACTGAGTGACGCATCACGTGCCAATTGCATTTTGCATGTAGGGTAATAATAGACTCCTTGGGGATAAACAATAAAACCCAGAGCTGCAGACAGAGACTTGAGTGGATGAAGAGGGATCCAGAGGTTCAGAGATGACATGGATGAATCTGTTGCATTACTGACACATAGTAGCAAATGTATTGTGTTAGACATTATACAACCAAGAGCTTTCTAAATTTATACCTTTCCATTTTTTCCTCTATGTTATTGTGGTTGGTAAGAGGATAAAGGTAGGGCAGTATGATGCATTTTGATTATCCTAAGATAGCTGTCACACAATTAAGCACTGCAATGTCAAGTGTCCTTGCACAACACACCAGGAAGTATAAATAGGTTACTGGAACCTATTTAGAATCAGCATTTAAAAAATATTGACAGCACAATATCATTCACCTGTGTTTCTACTTTGCCAGACTTGTGAAGTGGCTATGAAATGATTTCTGTTTCATACTTGAACCACTGGGGTTTAAAAGCTACACTGTCGAGGAAAAGGTTTACAGCGTGCTGTAACACGCCATTGAGATTTGTTTTCTTGAGACATTTATTTAACAGTGCTGCCTCGAGAACTGTATATGTAACGTGTGGTTTGTTTATGTTTTGGGAAGAGAGCAAGGTAAGGACCTCTATTTAGAAGACAGCTGAAGGAGAAATCCAAGGTCGGTGTGTTTCTCCTATTGATTATGTATTCCTGGACACGCTGGCAAGGAGCCGAACTCATCTGGAATTCCAGCCACTGGGATCTTGTGTGTGTGAGGGAGGAGCCCTGTGTCCTGGGGGAGGGTGTATTTACAGCAGGTGGTAATAATAGCAGGCATCGCCTTCTAATATTAGGACAATCTGATACACTAAGGCAGCCACATTGATGACTGCAAGCACTGTGCTTGCAATAGACTACGGTGAGGTGTCAGGATGTCTCGTTCTCCAAGCAGAGGTTTCATGGGAACTGAAATGAAATGTCTTCCTGTGTATCTGCTCACCTAACACTGCCAAGGGAGAAAAGGATTGAGACATAAATCTCATCTTATTACCAAACCTAAATTGTTCCCTCCGATTTTGTCTCGATGCCTGACTCTTGCCTTGTTCCCTTGGCATAATGAATTTCTTAACCTAGAGTCTTGATAAAATCTTCCATAATTTATTTTTATCTTAGAAGTTGTCGTAAAAATTCACTGACAAGGCACAGCCCAAGGTGGTTTAAAATAAGCTACCTTGATCTGTTTGTGTAGATGGAGATATACTACTGCTCTCAGATGGAAACGAAGTGACTTCCCTCTTTGTTCCCATAAAAGAACATCTATTAATTCCAGTGAGGGTCCAGAGTATGAAAATATGTGAAAGTCCTTTTACATATAGGGGTTATAAAACTGAGCTGGATGAAGAAATTATTTATCTCTGTTAGCATGGTTGTTTATTATATTTTGTACAAGTCTTATATTAACATTTAACCACCTAAGGAAATCATGTAGAAATGAGATCCTCATGTGTGTATATGTATATATATATATACACACACATATATATCTGCTAAGATGGCAGAGCTAGCATACTATTTTTAGAATAATAAGCTTAGTGGTTAAAGTGTCATGCACTGAAGATTAAGTACTGAAAGGAAATTAATCGGGAGACAAGCACAGGGGTTATGAGGAAGAAATCTCAGGCTCTCATTAGTGGAGTCAATCAAGAACTTTCAAGGCACAGTTTTTATCCCTAGCATAATCTTGGGGTCCCTCTCTTAAACTTCAGGGATTTCGTCTACATTTGTTATATTTATATCTTTTCTTAATTAAAGGTTTCAAGCCTTAAAGGATACAAAATTAGAAAGCATCTTTGAGGTTCTCAGCGTCCATGGGACGTTTCCATATTTCAGCTGGGCCCATGTGCTTCCGTTTAACATGCATCAAGTCAGAATGTCAAGGACGTGTGAGTAACTCTTACTGACTTGGATAAACACCTTGAAAAGGCGAAGAAGAAGAAGAGGAAAGAAGGAGAAGGAGAAGAAAGAAAAATACCGAACAACAGCCAAGCCAGCAATTGTTGTTTCCTTGCGGATGTCCAGACAGAAAAATTTGAGGAGGAACTAAGCAGACAGGGATTTGAGTACAGAAAATAGCTCTCCATTCTTTTAAGAGTCTGAAGTGATATGTTTCTCCCTGACTCTCTTACTTTCAAAATGAAAGACTTAGCAAGTTCTTGGGAGTTTCACTTGGATTTCAAAGCCGATTAAGTGTTTTTGGCCTGAGAAAGAATGGGTAATTGTGAAGAAACTGCTGAACAAAGTCGTTTAAGTTACTTTGTCTGCAGTGTGGAAATATATGGCTTTTTAAGAACAAATGCTACCTTTCAGAAGTCACTGATGGAGCCGAGTGTGAAAACTAAAAGATGAACAAAAATACATGCATGAGGCTTCAGTTGGGGCGTGGGGCAGGAGGGGAGCGGTGAGGGTGGGGTGGGCGGCTGTTCTGATGGTGGGCCGTCAGGGCTGACTGCACAGGGCCCTGAGGAAGCCTGCAGTCTCCTTTCCTGGGCTGCTAGCAGGGCTGGCCATGGTTCTCCTCCAGCTAAGCCTGCCCACGCTGCAGAAAGCCACGTCCTCTGCTGTCCAAGAGGGAGACAGAGTGAGCAGAAGAGGGTCAGCGAGGTCCCCAGGAAATAGGAAATCTTTCCCCAGCCTGTTATTACGGCCTGGGGTCACCTTTTCTTATCATTTCCTTATCTTATAACCATATTAGGTCCCTTAGCTGGTCTCCCTGTCCCTGTTCCCTTCTCCTTAAATCCAGTCTTCACCTTGTAAACTATTACATGTACCAGGTAAACCATTATATGTCCCAGCCTAAACTCCTACAATAGCCTGTTTCACCTGCAGGATGAAGGCATCTTCTCAGCAGAGCGGGGACGCCCCTACCTTGTCTCCCTCCTGAGGGCTCCCCAACCCCATTTCTCATTTCTCACTTCCTGCTGTCTAAGAGGGAGCACTCTGAACCCCCATGCATCTTCTCCCCACACAGAACTTCCTTCCTTTTCCCTGGTAACTTTGATATTTCTTTCAAACCACTCATCACTGCCTCCAGGAAGCCTTACTTAATCCTGTTAGCTCTTCTCTTAAATGCAGCCCCTCACCTGCGCTCCCACAGGAGCTTGCTATTGTAACTCTTACTGCTGAAGAACTATTCCCCTTTGCACAGGAAGCAGCTGGGTGGGGGGCTGCAGGGAGGGCCTGTGACTTTTTTTCTGAGCACTCTTTTTTCCTGGCAGAGAGCAGAAACCCTGTGAAATAGTAAATGAAAATGGATTCATAAAGACAAACTTTTGGTTTATGGCTATAGCTGTTATTCTCCAAGCCTAGCAGTATTTGCAATTCTTTTAGGCAGAAACTCTTGATTCCCTCACTGAAAATTAATAGCTACTATTCCTAATGCCTCCAGGCTAAGTTTGCTCTCTACTATAATTTCTCAACATTTCATAGCCAGTTCCCCATTATTTGAAAATTCACAGCAATGTGTCTTTAGGTTTTCTTCTGTCTATAGTAAAGCAGCTATAATGCACTGTCAGAAAAGTTATCTGAAATGTAGAAATAAGTGAAAGAGAATCCCGAATGTTTTTTCAGGACAGAGCTGAGCTTGACTTTTTATTTATTGGGCGATTTTAAAAGTATGTATCAGCAGAAGTTAACTTGTAAATTTGTATTTGGTAGAGATGTAAATGCTTTTGGTGTGATGAAACAGATAACCCCAGAAGTTTTGGGCTTTGGCCATGTTGGACATTAACCAGTTTTGTATCTAACTCAGCAATCTGTGAAATTGCCTATACAGACCTAGCTTCTTAAATGGTCTTTGAGCTGTTTTAATATCTTACTGGTTACTTTTAATACCTACTGGTTTAAATACTTACTGGTTAATAGTAAACCTTTGACATGTTCATTTTATATTTGAAAGAAAAAGGGTCATGATTTTATCCTTTAGAAATTATTCTTTAACAATATATACTAGAACAGCACTTGTCTTTCCAGGAATCAAAAATTTAATCCAGAGTCTATTATAACTGGCTGTTTTATGCCAGCCAAACCGAAGAGCCTCAATTTCTTTGTCTGCAGAATAGGGGTGCTTGTTGCTAAGGATTAAGGATTAAATATCATGTGAAAGAAATCATCTGTAAGCTATAAAAGTGACATGCACACCATGCACTGTTATTGGCTCCGAGTTACTATTATGTACCTGGACATTGAATTTTTACGTATTTTTAGCGCATTGAGACTGTATCACAGTGATAGTCTCAGAAAACCAAGCAAAATTAGATGAATCAAAATTAGAAGAATAATTGAACACATTTTCCATCAATCACAGCTTAATTTTCTCATTTTACTTTTTACAGACAAAAGGCCACCAATGACTATTTTCATCATAATAGAAATATTGGAGTTATTTAAATAAAGCAATTAGAGTAAATAAACATTTCCTGGTTGTTTGTTTAAGGTATAAATGTCTAGGAGACTGGGTTTGATGTTTACTTACTAGAAGATTTTCTAAGAGCTTCATTTCTTTTCTTTTATTATTAAGGTATCATCGATATACAATCTTATGAAGGTTTCACATGAGCAATATTTTGGTTAGTACAGTCACCCATATTATCAAGTCTCCCCCACATCCCATTGCAGTCACTGTCCATCAGCATAGTAAGATGCTACAGAATCTCTACTTGTCTTCACTGTGCTATACTACTTTCCCTGTGACCCCCCTACATTATGTGTGGTAATCATATGCCCTTTAATCCCCTTCTCTCTCCCTCCCCTCCCACCCTTTCTACCCTCTTCCCTTTGGTAACTGGTAGTCCCTTCTTGGAGTCTGTGAGTCTGCTGATGTCTTGTTCCATTAGTTTTGCTTCATTGTTATACTCCACAGATGAGGGAAATCATTGGTACTTGTCTTTCTCCAACTGGCTTATTTCATTGAACATAATATCCTCTAGCTTCATCCATGTTGTTACAAATAGCAGGATTTGTTTTCTTCTTATGGCTGAATAATATTCCATTGTGTTTATGTACCTCATCTTCTTTATCCATTCATCTACTGATGGGCACTTAGGATCCTTTCATATCTTGGTTATTGTAAATAGTGCTGCAATAAAACATAGGGGTGCATATGTCTTTTTGAATCTGGGATCTTGTTTTCTTTGGGTAAATTCCTAGGAGAGGAATTCCAGGATCAAATGTTATTTCCTCTTTTTCTTTTTTCCTTCACAATTTAAAAATGTTTTTATTAAGTTATTATTGATATATACTCTTATGAAGGTTTCATATGAAAAAACAATGTGGTTACCATACTCACCCATACCATCAAGTCCCTACCCATACCCCAATGCAGTCACCATCCATCAGTGTAGCAAGATGCCACAGATTCACTACTTGCCCTTCTCTGTGCCACACTGTCTTCCCTGAAATCCCCCACACCATGTGTACCAATCATAACACCCTTCCATCCCCTCCTCCCTCCCTCTCCACCTGCCCTCCTGCACCCCTCCCCGCTGGTAACCACTAGTTCCTTCTTGGAGTCTCTGAGTCTGCTGCTATTTTGTTCCTTCAGTTTTACTTCGTTGTTATACTCCAGAAATGAGGGAAATCATTTGGCACTTGTCTTTCTCCTCCTGGCTTATTTCACTGAGCATAATGTCCTCCATCTCCATCCATGTTGTTGCAAATGGTAGAATTTGTTTCTTTCTTATGGCTGAATAATATTCCATTGTGTATATGTACCACATCTTCTTTATCCATTCATCTACTGATGGACACTTAAGTTGCTTCCATATCTTGGCTGTTGTAAAAAGTGCTGCAATAAACAGGGGTGCTTATGTCTTTTTGAATCTGAGAAGTTGTATTCTTTGGATAAATTCCAAGGAGTGGGATTCCCGGTCAAATGGTATTTCTATTTTTAGTTTTTTGAGGAACCTCCATATTGCTTTCCACAATGGTTGAACTAGCTTACATTCCCACCAGCAGTGTAGGAGGGTTCACCTTTCTCTGCATCCTCACCAGCATTTGTTGTTCCTTGTAAGAGCTTCATTTCTTATTAGAAATCAACTTGGCCTTTAGGACAACAGCTGTCAACTCTGCAAGGAGCCCCCAGCAGCCTGGGGAAGTGGAGACATGTGGACAATGTTTTGTTTTTAAAATTTTGTCTGAAGAAAGCATTCTGAGGCTATATAAAACATTACTCAGTGACATTGAGGATTTACATTCAAGTGGTAAGGAGCTGGTGGTAAACTTATCTGTGAGCATGTAAAGATGAGGCAGGACTATTTAATGAAATTCCGTGTATAAACATTTTGTTCTTCTCTTTAAAAAAAATCTAAAATGCAGATTCTACCATGGATGTTTCAGGAAATAGACCTGAAACACATTTTGATGTGAAATAGAAATCAACAATGAGTTCTGTGATAATTTCAGTTTTAAAAAATATTATTAGAATCTCAATTAAGTGGAAAATTATTTGTATAGGAAGTCCTTTTTTTAAAATCTATTTTCTCTCATCTTCAACATTTACCTTGCCTTAATGGCTTACATGAGTGTCTTCCTATCTTGTTCTTTCTTTTTTAAGCACATAGTAAGTGATCAATCAGTACGGCCACTCATGTTGTTTTGATTCCCCCGTGACTGTGAAAAACCAGTCACTGAGACAAACCTGGTCCCTAAGGGTCTTTAACCAATAAAGGGGAGTAACTTAGGATATTTCAGTCTACCAGCAGACCAAATTTGAGATAATTTTTCTATCACGAACAAGCACTTAACTACAGTTGTTAGATCAGTCAAACTTCGACCTCTTTAAGGGTTTTCATTCAAAGATAAGAGTTCTAAACAATAAATTTATAATAAATAAGCCATCAATAAATTCACTGAGCATTGTTGGTATGCCAGGAATTGTGCCGAAGGCTGAGACTATGAGGCAGAAGGACCTGTTGTGTGTGCTTTGACAGGTGTTGTAGGAAGAGAGACGTAAACTCACACCTCCACACTCTGCGGAGGTGTAAGTACTACACCTAACAGAGAAATGTACACTACACTCTCCTGGGAGCACAGAGGAGCACGTCCTTCCATCTGAGGTAGGATGCCGGGCAATTTAAGCATCACAGTGAGAGTGACATAGAAATACGTTTACACTCAGCTTCTAGTTATTTCTTAGAATATTGTTCATTGTACCCATTCCTATATATAGAACACTGCCTTTCTGCTTCACAAATTGTTTGGTGATATATCAGACAGCCTGCAGTGAGGAGGAGGATTTGGCAACTTAGTAAAGTTTTGAGGTCATACACAATGGGGTTTTAAACCATCATGTGGGAAAATGGAATATATTTAGGGAAAGGTAATTCTGGAAGAATAGAGACTGTGGAGACACATGGGCTAAGGCCTCAAATTCTCCAGTCTTATAAAAGCAGTTTTAAGCAGCTGTGAATTGCCCTCTTATTAAAAAAAAATGGTTACTATTGTACAGTGGTCCTGAAAAATGGGAACTCTTCTTCATGAGAGAAAAGGGCAGATTGATTTGCTTTTTTCCTTCTATTTTGGTACTCTGAAGTCATGATATCAGATCACCTATTTGGAATCCAATTAGTGAATATTTAGGGCTCTGATCTTCCTCTAGTAATCCTAGAAACATGACTGTTCTTTACAGCAAGGATTTAGCATGGATTTTGAAGCTGGCAAGAGTGACAGAAATACCAACTTATCCGTGACAACGACAGAAGTTTCCCTTTTTCCCAGCAGGGATCTGCCACAATTGAAATGACCTGCTGTCCATACCTGACTTTCTAGAAGCTCTATATTAGGGCCTGAGGCCAGATGTTTCCAAACCAGTGAGCCAACGCCCTAGTCTTGTTTCCAGGGGTTTTCTGGTTGATTGACATAAAAGGTGTGACTGGGAACCTCCCACCCACAGGGCATTTTTTCATTTTGCTGCTAAATGTTCCCAGTCTTGCAGAAGAGCCCAAGATAGAACTGATGATCCTCTGTTTCACTTGGTGAAAAAAATACTAATTAGGGAAGTCATATCATTGAAACATTACTTGCTTCATTTTAATTTGACAAGCAAATTTCAAGTTCCTATAGAGTATTTACTCTCCACATGTGAGTAGGAAATACAAGTCATTTAGAAACCCCTTTAAGCGCAAATTAGAGAGGATATTTTCAGCAGTTAAAAGGAAGTCATCCTGTAAGTGATTCAAGTCATCAGGATGACTGGCAGGATAAACAGGGAAAGTTTCCATCAATAACAGAGGTCATGTTTTCTTTTACCCAAGTTATGTGCTTTAAACTTTGTCAGTTAATTTTCCAAAGTCGTACAATATTCTGATTTTAAAATGTTGCCGGATGTTAGTAGATACTCCCATGGATGTATAAATGGAGGGATTATGACAGTAAGGAGGAGACTGTCAAGTGAAACCTTCATTTCTTTTGAGATTCAAAACACAGATAAACAGTGTGCAGAGCTTCTGTGAGACAAGACAAATGTATTCCGCATTTCTGACACACATCCATTGAATCAACACACCAACGATATCGTCTGGCAGCTTCCATTTTTACCTTCTCTAAAAATAGAATTCCCAACAGGGATTCTGTGATATGCGTCCTGGGGGTCAAGGTCATACCCATCAAATTTTATTTCAAGTTGTAAACTAGTAAACCAGTATTTCCAATCAATTAACACTGGAATGATTTGATTCAGACATGCAAGCTGAGTGAAAAATGGAATAAGGCAAAAGTCTCCTTGGAGTTATATTTTTACTATCTGATAAAGTCTAAAGGGGCAGAAAATTCATAACTCTGCTTTTAAGATAGGAAAAAAATGCTCATAACAAGAGAAACCTGGAAATAAATGAGAAACTGCTAATGTAATAAAAGAAAGATACCAAGACCCTCCTCTAACAAAGGGACTGGAAAATATTCCAAAAGAGATAAAAAAGAAAAAAAGAAAGCAAATAGGAAAAGATTTTTGTCTTTCTTGGGAGTGGTCTCTTTTGTTTCTGAATCATAGTGCTTAACAAAGACTGGGAATGTAGCTTCCATCTTGCCTTTGGGTTTAACAAACCTTTTTGATATCATACCCAGACAACACAATGTGAAGACAGCCTGTTTACTGTCACTACTACACCTGCTTCTAATGAACTTGCTCTTGTGGCAGAATAGGGGTCTGCGGTTTTCATCAGTGACCTAGTCCCCTTCACTTCCTTATCGGCCCCCCTTGCTCAGGGGCCTCTGTCCCAGCACCACGCAGGCTCCCACAGAGGCCAGTTCACACTGCCTTGGCCAGAGCCCCTGAGGAAGCTGCATCTCGCTGACCTCACAGAGTGGTTGCTCCTGTTTTTAGTCTGTAGTCGAGTTCAGTTGCCATGGAGGTGGAAGGAGAACCTTCTCTCAGTCCTAGTAGGCAGTGGACTGGGGCTGGGACCAGCCCATGTTGCTTTTTATCCCCTCCTACATAAAGCCCTACAAGCGTGTGCATATTCTACAAGTCAGATATTTGTAACGAGGGGAGTAGCCTGCCTGGTGTAAATGAAGGCTCTCTAACAATTCAGGATGACATGCAATCAATCTAAACAGGTGACCGGGCAGAGGGCTTTGCGCCTCTGCACTGTGTGTAGGGCGCTGTCCTGTGCTTGCCATCTTCATTTGTTGCCCTGGGCAGAAACACTCTCTTCTCAGGGAAAAACGAAGATGACAAGCTTCCCTGGACCTGTGTGGCAGTCCCCGGAGTGGCTGGTCAACGCATGAGGGGTGCCAGCCTGGGGAGGGTTGCTTAGTGAACTCGCTTTTGCTGTCATTGAGTGTGACGTTGTGCCTGAGAGGCTGAGAATTTCCTCTCCTCCCACAGTCGGGCTGGGGTTCCTTAGGGGCACGTTGTCTCTTTCATTTCCTGTTAAATGTAGGTGCAGGCTCAGAAGACTAAAGACCTTCTCAATAACGTGGCCTCTGATGAAGCTAATTTAGAAGCCAAAATTGAAAAGAGGAAATTAGAACTGGAAAGAAATCGGAAGCGACTCCAGACTCTGCAGAGTGTCAGGTAGATCCGAATGCCTGCAGGGTGAGGAGAAAGGTGTCTCGGAGAGTTAAAGAGGGCTGAGAACATGTCAGTGGTGCCAACCCTTCAAGCAGAGGAAGGAGCCTTGCACAAGGCCTCTCCACTTAGAATGCATGTGTATTGCTGTTCTAACAGGTGCACTTGCTGAACTCATTTTTTTGCTGCTTTCAATACATCTGTAAAACTGCTAAACTCCTAACCTCTCAAGCTTTTAGAGCTTGGAATGCAAGGCAGACTAAGTAAATGCAGATGGTGGAAGCTGTACAAGGCTTGATCTCCCCAGATCTGTGCCTTGCTGTGAATCAGGTAGAACCAGAAACATACATTTCTTGTTTTGAGTAGATTTTAGACTTACAATTCCTCACCAGTAGTTCATCTTTCTTCTGACTCCTCACCGAAAGTACCTTCTCCAGGGAACATGGATGGGTACTAGTGGCAGAAACACCTTCTGGGTCACTGGAGCCTTTTAAGTATGTTCTTCATATTTTCTTAGAGCTTTTTCCTCCCTCCCCCTCCCCTGTCCCCTCCCCTCCCTCTCCCCTCTCCTCTCCTCTCCTCTCCCCTCTCCTCTGTCAAGAAACAAAACAACAAAACCTCCACAAACTCAGGTGGAGCAAATTCCCCAGGATAGATGTCATTTTATGGGCTGTCCCTACAAGTAGCTTAAGAGAGAAAGCATCTCTCTTATTTCAAGTTGAAATAAACTGTGGGTCACGGCTGTTTCTCCTCCACAATTCATAATACTTATTGGGCTTATGGGTAAATACCTTTTCTGATAACAAGATTCTGGTTCTAAGGATGAAAGGTGCTTAAAACTCAGTAAAGAAATAAAAGCAAATTGCATCTGGGAATCTCTGTTTTATTATGATTGAATTGGAGTAAGAACCAGATTATTTTATTAAATGCTACTTTTAGAAGGATGGGAAAACATAAATCCTAAAAGCAATTTATAGTTTTCTTGGCTCTCTCTCGAGAGTTTTCTTGGTTCTATTTAGCTCCCGTCCCAGTGACAGTGAAAACCCTGTGACTCCATCCACAGTTGACAGGTTGCATGTCTAAGTGTATCTACTGCTTTGAAGGCATTCTTGACCTATTTCAAAATTAGTTTTTCCAGTAAATTCAAACCTTTAGTGATTATCTTAGCCATGGATCTTTCCTCAGATGACTCCTGACAGATAAAATGTATCTTAATCAGGTTTAGTTTACTTAAGTCAGTTATTTATTTTCTTCTTTTTAGAACTATAACAATTAAAGCGAACAGAAATGCAAGGATTTGAAAAGTTAGGTGGGCTTTTTGTTCATATTTTATTTTATGTTTTTTTGTTTGTTTTTAGGAAGCAGGTTATGTTATATTATTCCTCCATAGCTCTGTGGTTCTCATTTCTTCAGTTTAGATTTTTGTACTAGGCTATCAAGCTATGACAAACTGAAATTCATAATTGAGTAAATGTTTTATTACATGTGTGTGTATGTGTGTGTGTGTGTATATACATATATATATATATGAACAAAAATATCTCAATGATTAACAAAGACATGCTCCAAAATTCAACATTCTTTTTAAGGGCTTTGTTCACTGGGTTCCTTCTGAGGGCTTTAACTTTAATACATTTGCAAGTAACAATCTACCAAAGAGAGATTTGGGCTAAAAATCTGTAGTACTCAATTTCTTGTACCTGCTTTTATATATTGTGAGCACCAAACCCCATCCAGTGATAACAGTCAGAAGCACAGGTTCTTTCGAACTCTGTTTCTCCCTTGTTTTCCCTCCCGTGCTGCTGCTCTTTCTCTCTTCATTTTCTCTTTACTCCTTCCTCTCCAGCTGCTGCATCTGCTCTGAATGGGTCTTGCTCTTTTGAGATGCTGGTGACTGGCCCACACTCTGACTACTGTCCTGAGATGTGAGAAGGTGGCAGACAGGAACCCAGGAGCATGAAAGGCCTCCTCCCACCCAAGGGCACGACCATGCCCACCCCCACCTCCGAATCAGGGCCACCAGATAGATTTGTCTCATTAGAAAATTCTGCCTTTCAAGTGTAAATTCATTTTTGTTAAGTCTCATCTTTTTAGTCAAAAAGTTTCTGTGTTTTGCTCTATTGCAAAGATTATACATTGTTTTTTTAGTTTATCTGTTTGTACTTTTAAAAGAACAGAGTCCTCCCTTTAAGATTACTAAATAAGAGAAAAAAGTATATTCAGCAAACCATTGAAACAGATTTTTATGTTATGGTTTTATTTTTAAATTTCTTATTGTTTAAAAACTTAGACTTAATTTGTAGCAACCTATGTTTCCTTTTTTAGGGAATCAATTGAATTTTGTAACATCCAGACAGTAGAATATTATGCCTAACTAAGAAAATGCATATATTTAATTTATTGGTTTTGAGAGATGTGTATCACATATGATTATTTTTTAGCTCTTTATTGAGATTTTGGCATACTGAGTAAGAAAAAATCTGCAAAACTTCATTTAAGGTTAATATATTTAATGTTTGTTAAATAATTTATTCTTACATGTGTGCATAGGAAAGTCTAGAAGGATGTATGTCAAACATTAAGTGCTTATACCTTAAGTGATGGGATTGTAATTTTTATTTTATTCGTACTTTCAGGATTATGTCAAAGTTTTACAAAGAGCACATTTTTCTGATTTAAAAAAAGTATGTTCATTTTGGGAGGAGAAAAGAGGAAATTAAGTTAACTTTAAGCAGTTATAAGAGTGAAGAACTTTCTCCAGTTCAAGGCTTTCCAAAGAAAAGCATATGGAATCTGTAACTCTGAATATCAGTTTCAAACTATTGTATATAGATTAATCTTTCACTTTGTTACATTTGGTCATCCCAGGCCAGCCTTTATGGATGAGTATGAGAAGACGGAGGAGGAATTGCAAAAACAATATGACATTTATCTGGAGAAATTCCGAAACCTGGCTTATTTGGAACAACAGCTGGAGGATCATCACAGGATGGAGCAGGAGAGGTTTGAGGCGAGTGTCCGGCCCCTCCCGCCGTTCCCACCAGTCCTGCTGTGGCATCCTGTGCTTGTGGAGGTGTCAGTTCGTAAATATCACTGTGAAAACTACTTCCGGGAATGTTTTTCCTCCCGACTAGTCTGCAGACCACTCTCAGGGAGCACAACCCACACTCCTGGGCTGTCAGATCCGTGAGGGTCAGGTGTCCTGGGTGTCGGGTCAGCCTGGACTGTACACAGGGCTGACCTGTGAGTGGGGTGGTCGCAGGAAGCTCGAGCTCAGGAGGGCCCGTGCTGGCTGGCTGAGTGCTCTGCTGTCACTGGCTTGAACTTCTTAATGATTTTTAAGTACCTTTCATTTTGCACTGAGTTCCACAAAGTATGTAGCTGGTCTTGAATACTGACCTACAGACTTGCTCGGTCCCCTCATGCAGAGATGTTCAAGCCCTGGCAAACTGAGTCACCCCAACCTGCCTGTCAGCGACTGCTTTGTGAAGGGGGATCGCCGCTTGCCAGCTGCCATGGGGAATGCGCATGACCCAGAACCTGACTAGCTGTCTTACAGGATCCTCTCATCCCAGTGTTGAAGGCCATTTAGGAAAGGGCATTTCGGATCCCAGCCCCAGTTGATAAGTACAGAATTCAGAGCAAGGGAAATTGGGCCAAGTTGCTGTCACTTTTTGAGTTGTCTGTATCCCTTAGGGACGTTTCTGCTTACCCAAGACTAGTCACTTGGACTGCATGCTCATGGTGAAATTGGTCTACAGCCTCCCTTTCTCACGCTGTCCTTGACAGCTTTTGGTATAAAGGTGATGCCAGCCTTCTTACAGGCCTGAACATTTGAAATAGGCGGAGGCTGGTTGTGAGGAACTAACACATTGTGTGCTCGTGTTTATTCTGACCAGGAACCCAGTGTCACCATCGCTGTGTGGCAGAGGCAGGCCGGAGCACAGGGCAGGCATGTTTTGAAGGCAGTGAAAAGCCCAGAGTTCCTGGCATTTTAGACATTGGGTGCCTGCGAAAGAATAGCAAAGGGCCGGTGAAAATAAGTCGCCCACATGTTTTATAGCCTGGGCCGCCCCAGGTTCCGGGCTGTGCTTGGGGTTCATGTTGATCCTTCTTCACAGGCTCTTAGCCTCTTTTTCTCTTATGCTCACACCTGCCCTCTGACTATAGCACCCAGTCCCTCGGAATATCTCCTGTGTGAAACACAGTACTTGATTTTTATGTCTAGAACAACAACAAAATACTAAGAGCCAATTCCCTCTCCCATTCTCTCTCGACAGTAATCAGGGCCACAATTTGTAACCTAACTGAGGTATTAGCTTCAGTTTCCCCAGGAATTAAGACTAGTGTTTATTTTTTTCTTTGTTCATCCTGATCATTCCCACTGTTCGGCATCTTTTGGGGCTGGACTGTGCAGAGCAGAAAAATGATCAAACTCGTGCTTTATTCTTTCAAGAACAAGAGGCCTGTACTGCCATCTGTGAAGCATGTGCTCCTGTGCCATGTCCCATCAGGCACACAGCTGGGTGTTTCGCTGGGCCATACGGGTTCCTCCGGAGGCCGTGACAGATGGTGGAGCAGGACGCAGTGGGGGCCAGTCAGAGGGTCACTGCGGGCAGCCTCCTGCCCCGAGGGCCGTGAGCTGTCGCGGGACAGGGTGTGGGGGTGTCGGCGGCGCTCTTCTCCCTCGGGGAGTTAGGTCTTCCCTGGTCGTGCTGGGACTCACGCAGTGCTAGAGAATAATCAGTCCGCAAAGGGCCATCTCTTCTGGGTCTTCTTCTCCTGTCCTCAGGAAGCTGAAAATATTCTACGTCTGATGCAGAACAAGCTAAAGGAAGAAGAAAACCGACTCCTCAAGAGTGCAGGTAAGGTCATACTGTTTACTCAGAGGCGTTTGTGCTGTACTTACATTCGCCTGGAAAAATGTGCATGTGCATTTGATTTATTTTCAAAAGGGAATTCTCTCAACTTTTCTATTTTCTATTTAACTCATTCAAGAGCTCAAGAGACTGCTCTAGATCATATCACACTGAAAGCACATTTGGTTTCCATGCCAACTAGAAGACTGTTTTCCCCTGTTCAAATGATACAGTTAAGTTTCAATTATATATAATATGCAACTATAAAAGAAAGCTTGGTCCTGGAGGTCTGTGGGGCTGGTTGTTTTAGGGCAAACTGCTAGAAAGCATGTATCATGATACAGTGTAAGTGGTTACTTGCTGGAAGATAGTCCCCCACCACACCCACCCACCATTTGTCCCCAAATAATCCAAAATCGTTTGGTAAGGCCATCGGCTATAGGGACATGGGGATCACCTAGCGTGAGACCTAGGTCCTGGGAAGGGGTGCTCTCTGTGACTGGCTGGTGTGGCGTGAGGCCAGCCTGAGAGCAGCGCCCGGATTGGCACCACATTGCTCGAGTTGCTTCTCCCACTTGTCGCACTTTTGTCTCGATGGCTTTTGTTTTGACTTCATTCCCACAGGCTTGAGGCCAGTACACTTGGGCCTTCAGGCGTGCTCGCGCTTTCTGTCCTTTCCTCCTGTGCTTCTCTCCCTTTGTATTTGGTCTGTGCTGGTCCCTCCTGAGTTTTAGGAAAGTGGAAGGGGAGCAGGGATTGCTGAGAAGTCCTCAAGGGCAAGTTTGGGAAATTCCAAGGGCCTCTGTAGCCAAAGCAGCCGGTCAGCTTTCTGGCCCCAGGCCAGTCAGGGGCGCCCGAGGCAGCCCTCGGTGACACGCCTGCATGGCCTCTCCCGCTCCCAGGGCCCCGGCTTGTTGGCTGCCTGCCTGCTCTGTCCCCTGGCCAGCACGTCAGAACCTTTCTCAGTGATCTCGCTTTATTCTTCTGTTCTCAGACTTTAATTCTGTGATCTACAGGTTCGGGATTTCTTGAAAGACAAAGATTCTTTGAGCATGTGTTGCAATTTAGTTTTTTTGGAAAGATAATTCCAGTTTAAACCAACTTGATAGATAATGCTGATTAGCTTGGGGTGGGCAAAGAAGTTAGGAAAATATGAAAATATGAAGGACCCTTCTTAGTTCCATTCATCCTGACCTTAGGATGTGCTCCTTTTCTTTGCTTTTCTGCGTATGTGTGAGCACTGCCCAGAGTGTTGGGATCATGGGGGAAATCTGTAAAGGGAGACTTTCGGAATTTTCCCATCTGTGAAAGACTTCCCTGAACAGAAAGATCTAGTACAAAGACATGAATCAGGGACAAGAATGAGCAGAATCCAAGAGCGGGGAGAGATCACCTTGTTCAGGACTCTGTGCAGGCAGCTGATTCACGGCCACAGAGCGGTCGTGAGTATTGCTGTGCTGTGGGCGCATCGGTGGGCAAGACGGCGGTCCTTGCCTCAGCCAGTCCTACATGCCAGCCAGAGGAGACTGGTCATGAGCGAGCTGCACGGGAGAGGCGGAGAGGGGCGTGGGGGCGAATGCAGAGCACTCGGGGGGACGGCGAGTGTGGCGGAGTCGTAGCTCTAAACGGAGGGTCGTCTCCTGGTGGGGACGCTGTTTAAGCAAAGATGAAATCAGTACAATGGGAGAAAGGAGATGCCAGATGAGGAGCATCCTGGGAGTTAGGGGGCAGCTTGGGAAGCAGAGCCCAGGCGAGGGGACGATATGTGCCGAGTGAGGACATGTGTGAATGTGCAGGACTCGAGTTCAAGCAGGTCACATGAGTTGGAAGGTGGGTCATGTGCTTGAAGGGCTCATATCTGATAGGTACGAATCTGTTGAACAGGAGGTGAACTCACTGGGATTTGGCTTTGGGGGTTTGGAGTAAGGGGCGTGGGGCAGAAAGTCTGAGTGGTTAGAGAGGGGCGAATGCTGGAGGGGCCCCTTAGGTTAGACAGCTCCAGGACTTTGTTCAGATGTCCACGACAGCTGTTCATCTTCCCATCATTCTTTTAAACCTTGGAGGTGGTAAGTTTTTAACTATCTTCTGTAGGATTCAGCACTGTAGCATTAGGAACTTAAAAAGTCCTCTGAATTCATAAATGACCCAGAAATTTCTGGAAAGGACTTGAGAAACCTTGCTATAGTTCAGTTTTTATGGTGTTGCAGAGAGTAGATATTCATGCATTTAACGTTTATTTACTGTGTGCCTACTGTGTGTCAGACACTGTATCCAGTATACCTAGCCACAAGCATGTGCCGCTCTCAGGCACTTAAAATGTGGCTAGTTCAAAGTAAGATGCACTGTTTGTGGAAAATAAACACCAGACTTGAGGATGTTGTACGAAAGAAAAGTAAAAGTACTCATTAATAATTTTTTACATGGGTTGCTTATTGAAATGACATTTTATATATATCAGGTGAAATAAAATATATTACCAAATTAATTCACCTGTTTCTTTTTACTTTTATGTAGTTCCTAGAGATTTTAAATTACATCTGTGGCTGGCACGTTTCAGTTGGGCAGTGCTGATATGAAAGGAGAAACTGCCTGCGGTTTAAGTGGGTATGAAGCAGGATCTCACTGTGCTTTGGATTTGAATTTTTCTGGTGGCTGATGGAATGGGGCATCATTTTATGTGCTTTTGGCCATTTTTATGTCTTCTTTGGAGAGATGTCTGTTGAAGTCCTTTGCATGTTTTAAAATTGAGTTATTTTTCTTTATACATTCTGTAAGAGTTGTAAGAGTTCTTTATACTTTCTGGTATTAGACCCTTATGGATTTGTAATCTGCAAATTCTTACTTTCATTCTATGGGCCATTTTTGTCGTTTTCTTGATGATGTCCTCTATGGCATAGTTTTAATGAGGTCCAGTTTATCAGTTTTTTTCTTGTTAATTGTGCTTTTAATGTCATATCTAAAAAAACACTGCCTAATTTAAGGTTACTGAGATTTACTCCAATGTTTTCTTCTAGGACTTTTACAGTTTTAACTCTTATTTAAGTCCCTGATCCATCTTGAATTATTTTTTGTGTATGATGTGACGTAGGGGTCCAACCTCATCCTATCCAGTTGTCCCAGCACCATTTTTTGGAAGGCCCATCCTTTCCCCATTGAATCACACTGGCACCCTTGTCCACCATACCTAATTTTTTTTTTATTAAGGTATCATTGATATACACTCTTATGAAGGTTTCACAAGAAAAACAATGTGGTTACTACATTCACCCCCACTATCGAGTCCCCCCCACACCGTACTGCAGCCACTGTCCATCAGTGCAGCAAGATGCCACAGAGCCCCTATTTGTGCTTTCTGAGCTACACTGCCCTCCCTGTGACCCCACACACACCATGTGCACCAATCATGATACCCCACAATCCCCTTCTCCCTCCCACCCCCCACCCTCCCCCATCCATCCTCTTTGGTAATCCCTGGTCCCTTCTTGGAGTCTGTGAGTCTGCTGTTATTTTGTTCCTTCAGTTTTGCTTCGTTGTTATACTCCACACATGAGGGAAATCATTAGGTATTTGTCTTTCTTTGCCTGACTTATTTCACTGAGCATAATACCCTCTAACTCCATTCATGTTGTTGCAGATGGTAGGATTTGTTTCTTTCTTATGGCTGAATAGTATTCCATCTATCTACTGATGGACACTTAGGTTGCTCCCATATATTGACTATTATAAATAGTGCTTTGATAAACATAGGGGTGCATATGTCTTTGAATCTGAGAAGTTGTTTTTATTTGAGTAAATTCCTAAGAGTGGAATTCCTGGGTCAAATGGTATTTCTATTTTTAGTTTTTTGAGGAACCTCCATACTGCTTTATATTTTACATTCCCACTAGCAGTGTAGGAGGGTTCACCTTTCTCCACTTCTTTGCCAGCATTTGTTGTTCCTTGTCTTTTCGATGTTGGCCATCCTTACTGGTGTGAGGTGATACTTCACTGTGGTTTTAATTTGCATTTCCCTGATAATTAATGATGTGGAGCATCTTTTCATGTGCCTGTTGGCCAGCTGAATTTCTTAGTTGGAGAAGTGTCTGTTCATATCCTTGGCCCATTTTTTAATAGGATTATTTGATTTTTGGGTATTGAGGCGTGTGAGTTCTTTATATATTTTGGGTGTTAACCCCTTGTCGGATATGTCATTTACAAATATATTCTCCATACTGTAGGGTGCCTTTTTGTTCTGCTGATGGTGTCCTTTGCTGTACAGAAGCTTTTTAGTTTGATGTAGTCCCATTTGTTCATTTTTGCTTTTGTTTCCCTTGCCTGAGGAGATGTGTCCAGGAAAAAGGTGCTCATGTTTATATTCAAGAGATTTTTGCCTATATTTTCTTCTAAGAGTTTTATGGTTTCATGACTTACATTCAGGTCTTTGATCCATTTTGAGTTTACTTTTGTGTATGGGGTTAGACAATAATCCAGTTCCATTCTCTTGCATGTAGCTGTCCAGTTTTGCCAACACCATCTGTTGAAGAGGTTGTCATTTCCCCATTGTATATCCATGGCTGCTTTATCATATATTAATATATGCTTGGGTTTATATCTGGGCTCTCTAGTCTGTTCCATTGGTCTATGGGTCTGTTCTTGTGCCAGTACCAAATTATCTTGATTACCTTGGCTTTGTAGTAGAGCTTGAAGTTGGGGAGCATAATCTCCTCTGCTTTATTCCTCCTTCTCAGGATTGCTTTGGTTATTCAGGGTCTTTTGTGGTTCCGTATGAATTTTTGAACTATTTGCTCTAGTTCATTGAAGAATGCTGTTGGTATTTTGATAGGGATTGCATTCAATCTGTAGATTGCTTTAGGCAGGGTGGCCGTTTTGACAATATTAATTCTTCCTATCCATGAACATGAGATGTGTTTCCATTTATTGGGATCTTCAATTTCTCTCATGAGTGTCTTATAGTTTTCAGAGTATAGGTCTTTCACTTCCTTGGTTAGGTTTATTCCTAGGTATTTTACTCTTTTTGATGCAATTGTGAATGGAATTGTTTTCCTGATTTCTCTCACTATACCTAATTTCACCACATCACTGACAACTCAGTGATCCCAATGTCCTCATGTGTTTAACTTTAGTTATTCTGCTCAGCCTTCAGTGTACTGCTTTGAGTTGTCCTTGTCAATATTATTTCATATGGACCCAGAAACATGTATTAAAGTAATTTTAAAATTCATATTATTGTTTACTTTATAGTGCATGGTGTAAGGATTTAATGTCATGATTTTCCTGGATGAAGTAAAAAGTGAACTAAGTTGAGTAGTGATGTCATTTTGTAGTCTTTACCTGTGTTAATATTTAATTGTATTCTCTGTAAGGCTTTTGTGAAGTGGCAGTCCCCACATCAGTCGTGTTGAAATCCTGTAGGATGCTACTGCTGACACCTTCCCTACCGCCCTGGGTTGCCCCTCCCTGCCAGAGAGCCTGGCTCTTCTCTCCGTGGCTGAAGGAAGCCCAAGACCTTCGCTCAGTGCCCGGCTGGCCTCAGCTGCTGGTTCATTACCCTCTTACAGAAGGGCTGAAACCACACCTTTTTGTAGACTGACAGTTACCATCTACCCCAACTGATGCTGAGTCAGCGGTCAGACTGCTCCCGTTCCGTCCCTCCCAGCTGTGCCTCTCCCTGGGCGAGGAAGCCTTTTCTCCCCAGTGTGGAAACTCCTTCTGTAGGTTTCCCCTGGGAAATCTCCAACCTACACAAGACTCCAGAAGAGTATTCATGAATTTAATGTGAAAGGCCATTGCCCTGGGAGTGACCTCTTTAGATATCTTTACAGCGGAATTATTCCTAGTAAGGAACATCACCAGCACCCATTTTCGTTGCCCATCCTAGCCTGGCCTCCTCACTCCAGCCTTGTTTTGAGCACTTGCTGACGTCATTGGCAGGCTCCGCCCCCTTGCCTTTGCCGTCCTCAAGGAGCTCGAGCTCTGGGAACACAGCCTAACACTGAGTGGAATGTTTTTTTCCCATCAACTAACCAAGAACTTCCAGCTACTTTGACAGCTGGTTATCCAGTTTTAGTTTCACATCCTGAAATAGTGTTTCTAATTGATGTGTCCTGACTCACTGTTTTCTCTCTTTGGAAATGGTTTAAAAAAACAACAGCATATCATTATCTGTGTTAAAGGTCTTTGCTGCATATCTACAGGCAAATCCCAAGAGTCTAGTAAATCTAACGTTATCAAAAGAAAGGCTGAGAAGGGTGGGTGGCTTTTGCACAAGCGCCGTGCTGGACAGGGGCTGCTTTAGAAGCAGCGATGCAGCCACACTTTGTCCCGCCTGCTTGTGTTCCTGCCAGGCAATCGTGACTCCGACATTGACGTCCGGGAGGACGATGACTCTGACAGCGAGCTGGAAGAGAGACGGCTGTCCGAGCCGCGGATGGCCATGGAGGGCCTCGTGAAAGGTGCCGCCGCCTCTTTCTCTCGCCCCCCTCCCTGTGCCCCGTCACAGCGCCGTGGCCAGGGCTGGTCACAGTTGCCTAGCATCGGGGCCTGGAAGCCCACTGCCAGGGTGCTGCTCCCGGGCTGATTCTGCCCTGTTGATGAGGATTCAGCCCTTAACCTGCTCCGTGGTCATCGAATGCTCTTACCTGTGGTCCTAGGAAAGCTGATTCTTACTTGCATGTTACTTAATTAAGTAAACTTTTTTAGTGTGATTCTTCTTTTTCCCAATTTTCCAAAGAAAGAAAATCTTGAATGAAAATCTAAGGCTTCCTGCCTTATTTTACAAGGTTTTCCTAATTTCTTCATGCTTTTATTCTCCTCAGAAAGACTCAGCAAACGCATCGTGGGCACAATGCAGGGGGGAGACTCGGATGACGATGTGAGTGTGCCCGGCTCCTCCTGCTCCTGGGCTGTCCTCGTAGACGAGCTGCCAAGGGGCTACGTGTGTCTGGGCGCGGTGCTGCCGCTCAGCCTGGCCCAGCGCTGGGTTTGTGGCAGAATTTGGCCCCCGAAGGAGCTAGATTTTGCTTGCTGATGGCTCATTTCTTCTCTTTCAAGTGAACGTGCTTGCTGCACCTTCCGCTTCTCACTGTTCTTTCCATTCTTTCTTTCCAAAGGCGGGCGCAGCAGCAGCGCTTAAGTAGAGGCACGACTGCGCTCCAGAAAGCCGTCGGTGCTCGCTTCCGCCACAGCATGTGTGCGTGTGCACACGTGCCCGCCTGCTGGATTGTGTGTGTGTGCATGCGTGCCCATCCGCTCAGGGCTTGTGTGTGTGTGTGTGTGTGTGTGTGCATGTGTGCCAACCTGCTCAGGGCTAGCAGACACTCTTCCCCAAGTGATGCTCCTGTCTTCTGGGCAGGAAACCACTCAAAGTGGGCCCACAGGGGACAGTGAAATGACCTCATGGCCCCTGTGCTCAGGGGGAGGGGCAGGTGCTGAGCCAAGAGACAAACGAGGTCCTCAGGCTCTTGAGCTGTAACCCAGGACAGAAGGGGTGCTGCCAAGGGCCCCAGGGCAAGTCCAGTCCACCCTCTAGCCCCCTTCTGGGGAGTGAGCATGAGAAGGAGGCTCCCCGAAGACCAGGACCAGGGCCAGGGAAAGGCAGGGCGGGAGGCTGCAGCGTCAGGTGAACGCACCTGGAGTGCTGCCAAGTGGGTCACCGACTGGGAAACTAGCCAGAACAGGCAACAAGGGCCCTTCCCGGGGCCCAGCTATTGGGGCCGCACCATCTGCCACTCCGGGCCTGCCTGCTTCATTCATCCCCTGGCAGTGCTGCTTGGCCCAAGGGCGAAGGTGACTGGACTGGCAGACGACAGGCCTCCCGTCAGCTGGAACGCTCTGTGTGCCTGGAGCATGGCACAGTGGCTGCACGGAGACAAGCATGGGCCTGCTGTTCCTGCAGCAGTGGCATATACTGTTCACAGGAGGGAGAGGTCACTCAGGTTTGCTGGGCAGGAAACACCGAGAAGATGGGGTCCTGAATTCATAGGAGACAGTTTTCAGAGATTTTTAACAAAGTAGGGGATGGATGGTCACATAGCTCTGTCCACCCATCTTCCCATTCGAGACAGTGGTAGGGGAGGCGCGGTGTGGGTGCTGCTGCTGGGAGCACTGGCCAGCCTCGCAATCTGCTGGCTCATTTGTGTAGCTTTCTCCTCATGGAGGTGATGCCTTAGCTGCAGTGCCTGTCATGATTGTTCATTCATTTCAGGGAGCTGTTGCCTCGAGTTCTCCTCAGCGTAGGGGCTCATCCCCTTCGTGTTCACTCATTCACTCAGCAGATACTACTGAGTGCCTGTCAGGTGCCACGTGCTGTTATGGAGTATGGGGATACAGCTGTGAGCAGGAACAAGCCCTGCCTTTCTGAAGCTTGCACTCCAGCAGTGATCAAGTGAATACATCAGGGGTCATAGTGGTAAGAAGAAAAAGTGGGTTTAGGGGACCGAGACAGGGTTGAGAGAGGACATTAACATCTCTGATTGGTCAGGGAAGGCCTCTTGACAAGGTGACATTGGGACAGAGGCCTGAGTGAAAGCAGGGATGTGCTGGGGAGGGGCATCTGAGGTGCGGGGAATGTGGCCTGCCCTTGGGGGCCACAGGTGGCAGCAAGGCTGGGGTGGAGTAAAGGTGGGGCAGGAGTGGCAAGGGGCAGCGGGGGCACCGGGGGCTTTGCAGTGTGACAGGGACTCGTGTCTTCTCTGAGTGCACTGGAGGGGAAGAACTGAGTGGCGTTTCGGAGAAACCAGTTAGGTGGCTTCCACCATAGTCCAGGCCAGGGGTGGTGATGGCTGCTTAGCCTACGGAGTGCAGCTGGTGTTGGGCAGTAGCCAGATTCTGGGTCAGTTTCCAAGGTCACAGCCATGACGTTCTGCTAGCTGGGTGGGTGTTAAGAGGCAGAGAAATGAAGGTGCCTCAGTCGTGGCGAACCAGCTGAAAGCAGTTTCACTTCCTGAGGTGGGGCAGGCCCGAGGAGGGGGCTTGGAGGGCAGTCAGCAGTTTGATTCTGGATGTAAGTGTGAGCTGCCTGCTGGATGCCCACATGCCGGTGCTGAGTAGCCATTTGAAATTCAGGTCTGGAGTTGGAGGGTCACATCTGAGCTGTAGATTGAATCTGGGGAGCCATCCACAGCTAGGAGGACTCATGCCACACGAACACATGTGACTGCTTGGGAAGAGAACAGAGGAGGGGAGGCCCACGGGCCTGAGCTGGCCCTGCATGGCGTGGGCAAGGAGATGAAGAGGGAGGAGTACACGAGGACACCAGTGTGGGGGAGCAGGCGCCCCGAGAGAAGGGCACCCTGCAGCACAGAGAGGTCCTGGGTCAGATGCAGCCCATGGCCAAATGAGAGCTGAGGGTCACCCAGGGGTTAGGACTGCAGAGTGCTTCCATCGAAGCTGGTGGGGTGGGAGCCAGACGAGAGCGTGCTTGGGGGGCAGTGAGTCCAAGTCTTGGTCAGACGGCCCTGGCACAAGGTGATAGAGAGGTGGGGCAGAGTAGCCGGACGGGAAGGTGGCATGAAGTTCGAGGGTTTTGTTCTCTTCTTTTTAAGAAGGTAACTGCAGCATGTGTGTATGTGTGCTGGTCGAATGATCTGGATAGAGTGAACGACGATCCTGGTTTACCGGGGCTGCAGGTGAACCAGCTTTAAAATCCAGCTCAGATGTTCGCTGTAGGTCTGGATGACGAGAAGAGTGCTTCTTATTTTGCTCTTTATGTTCATTTCCTGTGTGACTTTCCATCCCCAGTCTGGCAAAAGCCAAAATAAGCCCCCCTGTCCCCTCTCCAAGCCCCTGGTGGGTCTGGACCCCCAGCAGGCCTCGGTGCAGACCCCAAGACCCTGTCCCCTCTCCAAGCCCCTGGTGGGTCTGGACCCCCAGCAGGCCTCGGTGCAGACCCCAAGGTGTCTCTGAGGCAGCAGTGGGAAAGCCGGCCCTGCAGCAAACTTGGGCACACGTTGGTGTGTGCGGGTACTGGTCACGTGATGTGTTTGCGTCTGTATTTTGGCAATGATATCTGATGTTGATCCCCTTCTTCTGCTCTCACAGCCCGGCTGCTGCTCTGCCAAGCGCTCCCTTCACATGGGGGTTGCTAGTTATCGAGCCGCAAGTAAAAAAGAGGTAGGCTCTGTGCTGACAAGGTGTGTCAGTGAGGAGGGGACCGACAGTGGCATTTGCTGTCTTTCTCCTTCAGGAGGACTCAGAGGACAGTGAGATCGACATGGAAGATGGCGAAGAGGAGGATGACGACTTGGAAGATGAGAGCATCGCTGCCTCCCCACCTAAGGGCCGCCGCGGGGTCCGGAGACCTGAGCCCCTGGATGAGAGTGACGACGACTTCTGACCTGCTTGTTGCGGCACCCAGGCAGATTAACCCCCCAGATTCGTAGGTAAATGGGAAGCTGGAAGGTTAGGAGGGAATAATCAGCCAGCTGGACTCGCTGCTGGGGAGGCGGTGCCTGCTTCTGCTTTAGCCTCCCGCGTTCTCCGCAGAGCTCAGACACGACCCCAAGCGGGCACCAGACATGACTTTTTTTTGCCTTATCTGTCTTTTGAAACTTGGGAAATTGCATGTGTTCCTAATGATTCACATTCACAAGACTAAAACTCGGGAAGAAATAAGGATCAACATTATGAAGACTTGGCTATTGTAGTTGCCAGATGTTTCTTCTAAGAGCCGGTGGGACCGAGCCAGGGCTGGGCCTGGGCACGGGCGCTCCTCTCCGGGGCCTCGAGGGGCGTTTGCCCGGGGCCGCACGTGCCCTTAGAACACTGGCTGCTCATCAGCTTTTCATTCTAGCCTTTATTTCATTTCAGAGTCTTACTCCCTTCTCCTGCATGCTCACAACACCTAGCTCTAAATGTATTTTGTGGACTAAAGCTTTCAGTTCAAGTAAGCGAAGTTAGATGAAAAACAGCTTTCCTTCAAAGTCAGCAGAGATGCTTTAGATTATAAATACTCCGTTTTCTCTCAGAAGGCTGATATTCCTCCTCAGGAAAGCAACTGAAGGAAAAAGTACCAGAACAGTTTCTTGTCTCTGACTTTAAAAAGCAGACTGGACTCGAGGTCGGTGGGGTGGCACTGGGGCCCCCCCTGTTGTGAGGTGGGAAGCGGCAGACAGGCTGAGCTGTGCGTTTTAGTGTGGAAGGAAGGCACAGAGCAGTCTCATTTATTTTTCAATTATAAAATCAGAAGACTTGTGAAGTTACTTATCTCTTAAAAAGGCATTTAATACCATATTTTATATCATTAAATAAGTTTTATTTCAAAATATAATTATTTTGTTTATTTGTACCTACAACATATAAATACTTATTCAAAAGAAGGTTCACAGGTTAATATGGTACATGTACATTTTGGACTATGACAGATATTTCTATCATCTTTGCCATTTTCTTTTCCTGAATTTCATATGTGAGAGTTCCCCGTCCCTTAAACATTCAGCACTCAGTTGCCCCCACCAGTGATTCGAGGTGTGTCATCTTGAAGTGATCAGCGGAAAGGAAATGGGCGCGGCGGGAGCCAGGCTGCCCGCCCCGGGGGCTGTGGCCCCAGGTGCAGGAGTCACTGCGTCCTCTGGCACGTTACAGCTTTGGCTTACTTGAGTCTGAGCTGACTTTTTTTTGGAAAAACAAAAAATATGTTTCTTCTTCCTTATGTGATGCTTTCATCGAACAGACATTGACACGGGAGTCTGTTCTGTCTACAAGCTGCAGACGACACACACCCGCAGACACGCAGCGGCAGCCACGGGCTCGTCTCACCACCTCTTGGCCGTCCTCCTTGGTCCCCTGATTAACCAACTTTGTGCAGCTCCTAACCGTGGTGTGGCGCTTCCTTACTTGAGCAATTTCTGTCAGCCAAGGAGCTTCAAGTACTTGATGGGAGTTATTGATGTATTTCTGTCACTAATTTAGGATCCCAGAGTCAAACACGGACAGGTGCCTTATGGCCAAGCAGCAGAGCAGGTTCAGGCCCCAAAGAAGATTATGTGAATAGGTCAGTGAAAAACTAGCATTTAGATCATTACTGACAGTCTTTGAACTGTGTAATTAAGGACCTCTTAAAATTCTTTAAAATACAAGTATTGACAGAAAACATGAAAGGAATTTTAAGTGCTCAATTTTTATTGATGGTAGCCATCAAGAACAGTCCAAGGACCTCAGTGGGAAGTCTGAAGACCCGTTGGCCTTTAGACCAAGACAGGAGGAAGGAACGCAGAGCCTCCTCCGTTAGCCTTTAAGCTGTAAAATCTGAAAGCAAGGCACGTCCTCTGTGGTCAGTGACACACCCTGTCAAACCCAGTGTCAGCGTGGCCCAGGGGACTGTCGGCTGCCAGGGCCCAGGACCGGAGGGACTGGAGCTGAAAGGGTCTGTCTCCCACCTGCCGCGGAAGGCCTTTCATGAGAGGCAGGCGGAAGCTGGCGAGGTGCGTCTGCATTAGGAGCCGGCCTGCTGGAATTCATGCTGTGCATTGAAAACATACACACTAGGGACCCAGCTGGGTTGATTTGTTTGGGGTGAGAAGGCTGAGGGTGACTTCATGACCTTCACACCTGGACTTCTATATGTCTATACGTAAAACTGGTAAAGCCTCAGGTAGGGGACCCAGAGCACCGGGGCACTGCCCCGCAAGTCGGGCTGAAGTAGCCCCAGGTGGAGGGTGGCTGCTCCTGGCTGACGAAGCTTAAAAGCAAGTTTTGATGATGTCCATTTGGGATCTTTTTTCTCACAACACAGACAGACATCTGAGGGGATTTATGCCATGCGGAAGCCCAGCTTGCGTGCCTTCTAGGGAAGCTCTAGCCACAGTGGTGGTTTGGGAAGCTCAGCATAGAATAACATTGTTAAGGCATCAACATTTGATGAGCCATCAATAGCCAGCATGCTGGGCTCCAGACATCACATGCCGGACATAGCCCATGCCTTTGAGAGATTTTGTAGTAGGTAAAAGATGGCATAAGCCCTGGAGGACTTTTTTGACCCTTTTTCCCGAGTCCTATAAATAAAGCCTTGATTTCTCTTCAAAAAAAAATGCCATAATTTTTCCATATGTCTCTAAGGATCATATGGATGATCTTGAGAAAAGAGAAGCGCCCTCTGTCACTGATGCCAAATTGATACTCTTATTGGGCTTGAAGATGGCAACTCATTTCAGAGGCGGAGGACTAGATGGACTGCTCATGCTGCCTATGTCAGAGGAAGTCACTTCACATCTGCCTTTGGCCTTACATGCACCTCAGGGTATAAATAAGCTCAGACTGGCCTTTTGCTTGCTGAGCTTTGGGGCCCATGTCCCCGAGTCCCTCAGCAGAAGACCCTCCCTCCTCTGTGTTGAGGCAGAGTATTCATCTCGCTCCTGCCTGGACTGACCCTGGACCAGGAGAGGTGCTCCTGACCCGCTTTGGCAGAACCTTGCCTGCCTCCTTACAGGAGACCTGCTCTCGTGTGGGATGGCATCATTCCCAGACCACAGGAAGGACACTGGGAAATGGTCTTTTTTTCCCCAAAAGCTTCCAGCTGCATCTTTGTTCATCCTCCTGTCTGGTCCACGAGGAACTTGTTTTTTGCTCACATTTCAACACTGCACGAGGGAGCGTTTGTCTTGATGGCCTCTGAGATCATCCTGACACCAGATTCGCCAATGTGATTGCCCTGGAGACTAGAAAGGAAGGATTAGGACAGGGCTTGAGGAATTAATTGGCCGAAGGGCTAGAGGCCTGAGGTTCTCCAGGAGAGAACAGATCATCACTACACGCAATGCAGAACTCCAGGCGAAACCTTTGTGCTTCCGGGATCCCTCCCATGGACAAGGCACAGAGTGTCTCGCTCTTACACCGAATTTACCTACAGAGCTGCTGTGGGGCCTCGGAGTCAGCTGGCTCCAAGAATTGAGCAGAGGCAGGGCCTGACCTGGGAGCCATTTGAAAGGTGAACCAGAACGCAGGAAGGGGCAGAGGCTGCCAAGTGCACTCACTTGATGTACTGGAGCCCGTGGTTTCCAGACAGGGCGGTGGCAACGCATATCACGCCGTCCATCCCCAGGGAATTCTCTTGAAGACTAGGCAGGTAAAGACGGAGACACCACAGTGAGCCTTTCAGGACAGAAAGATGAGCCCCAGGCAGCAGCTCTGCCTTCTCCCGGGGCTGATGTGTCCAGACGCCACAGCCACAGGGGGTGGCGTTTCACCCCGAGACATGGCCACTGGTAGCCAGGCTGTCCCATCCAGGTGCCGTGGTGCATGTAAGGCCAAAATGCAGATGGGAACTTCCTCTGACATACGCAGAAGGAGCAGACCACCTGCACTGTGGACCACAGTGACCAGGGCAGTCTGAACTGCTTATATTCAGACGGAAGCAGCTACAAAGGACATCGGGAGCGTCTCATCCCATGGGGGCGGCTCTGGGCACAGGTGGGTGTCTACAGCCACTCACTTGAGTCTCCGGAGACTCGCGTTGACCTTCAGAGCGTTGGCGAGGGCCTTGGCTCCGGCGACCCCAATGGAGTTTCCCCTTAAGCTGTTGGGAAAGGCAGGACACTTAAGGCACAGTGACAGCCGAGGGGTGAAGACAGAGCCTCTTCACATAAACATGGGCTGCTGGGCGGAGCAGCGTGGACTCTGCGGCAGCAGGGGTGAGGTTGCGCCTTCCTCCTTCCTGGGCAGGAGCTGGGCCCTGGGGACCGGGGCCCGTGCAAAGGGGCAAGGCTGGCCCAGCCCAGGTGGTTTGTGAGAGCCCTCATCTTCCCCACTAAGACGCGAGAGCCAGGCTGAAACAGGCAGCAGTCTGTCCAGTGGTCCCTAGAACTGCAGGGCTGGGGTGACATGGGCATGCCCAATGGCCTGGGGTATTTGCATCTTCTCAGACTGGGGCTCAGTGGCCAGGGCCCCTAAACAGGGCCTCGGGACATGTGCATCCAGGGCAAGGCCAACTCCAGGCGGTCCCAAGGAGAGCAGGTACTTCAGGAGGGGGTCCCTAACGATGCCCAGGGAAGAAGTGTGAAGTGGGAATGGGAGGCTGGGGCATGCTTGATCTGAATGAACATTTTTAAATGATCTGTATGTAAATTTACAATTTTTTTCCTTCCATATCATTTATTTTGAATCACCAGCTTGGTTTCTTTGGGCAAGAGACTGCCCGGAGGTGGAATACTTACTCGAGAATCTCCAAGGTTCTGTTCACAGCCAGGGCCTCCCCCAGCGCCTGGGCCCCCGGGGCACCAATGGAGGCCACCTGAAGACTAAGGGGAGATGCCGTCAGCATGGACGGGACGGGGCTCCTGGCCCTGCCGCCTGCCGCAGACCCAGCTTCCGCCCGCAGCCCTGCTTCCTCTTCATCACCCTTTGCCTCAGGGCTGGGCGTGCTGAGAGCCCTGGTGTTGGCCCATGATTTGCCCAGAGAACGTGTCACAGCTGCTCACGCTGTGCGATGCTAGGGCGGAAGCCTGGCTGCTGCACAGGAAATAGAGGTGGTGTCCTGGGGGCAGGGCGAGCACTCCCGAGTGCCTAATTCTCTCTTTCTGGATGTTTGGTGTTTTATTCTAATACTACAAAAATCAAACACACCTCCTTTGACTGGGAAACAAATGACCTCTTGTGTGAGCAGGAGCCAGCCTCCTGGGCCAGACGCGTCAGGACTTACTAGAGGGCCGTGAGGGCCGTGTTTGCCTTCAGCGCGCTGGCCACCGCCGAAGCTCCTTCATCCCCAATGGCGTTCTCCTGCAAACTGAATACAGTGTGGTCCTGAATACAGACTATGCCCGGGGTCATCTTGGGGTTAATTACCCCAAACCTGATTAAAATGCAGCAAGCCTGAGGTCTGTGTGAGTGAACCATCAGAGGCAAACAAAAGGGACCCGCAGAGACCCTGAGTAGGGGCTGGGGGTAGATGGCCAACCAGAAAATCAGCCTGGAGCCCTCCCTCCGGCTGTTCTTGCTGGTCAGTGTCCCTTCCTCCCCTCCACACCGGAGAAAGCAGCAGCGCCGGAGCAGCAAGTGACTGAGTTTAGTCCAAGGGGGCTTTGGCGGGTTTAAGGGAGCGGCGTGTGTGAGGGTTTTTACAGTTGAGTCTGGGTTGTGCACTAGCAGCCCTGGTTCTGTCTCAGGTCGGGAGATGTGATTGAATGGCTGTCCCCATGGGCCAAGTGCAGGCTGCACGGAGGACCCAAGTGGCCTCCCACCCCTGTGTGGTCACAAAGGCTGCCCAGAAGTAGGTCTAAACCAAACCCCAAGGATGACAGTGGGGGAAGGGCCTGGCACATCTAAGGACCCAGAGAAACGGAGTCGAGTCGCCGGCATGGCGGATGAGGCTGAGGAGGTGCTAGGAGGCCTTTGGGGGGCCTGAGAAGCCACGTTGAGGACTGGACTTCACTGCAGGCACGGGCAGCCATCCAGCCTCCCACCCAGGATGGGGACAGGTGCATGTCTTGGAGAGCTCTCTGAGCAGCAGCTGAGAGCCTGGCTGGAAGTGGAGGCCGGACAGTGACAAAGGTGAGGGATGCCAGTGCCTGGACAGTGGCCACGGGGCAGAGGGAAATGGGTGGGACCCTGGGAGGCGAACTGTGAGTGGGAAGTGAGTGGAGGCAATGTTTCTAGCCTGCGTGGTTGGCTAGTTCCATTTATGGGCCAGGAAGCCAAGAAGTGACTGGTGGGGGGAGATAACTTGGGTAGTTTGAAGTGCCTGTGAGACACTTGGGGCAGGCCCAGGCGTGGTGCCGAGTGGGCCGAGGTTACGTGGTTCTGGAGCTCGAGAGGTCTGGGATTTAAGTGTCGGGCCGCACTGAAGGTGGCTGGAGCCTGGGAGAGGAGGAGAGCTTCCAGAGAAGAGACGTGTGTCACTCAAGGGAGGAGGAGGGGAGGGGCCCTGAGGAACACAGTTTCAGGGCCAGCCAGGAGAGCCGGCCGGTGGGGGATATGCTGGATGCTGAGGGGGAAGCAGCGGTCAGGGGCAAAAGCAGACGAGGCTCAGAGGGTCAAATAGAGAGTTTCCCCCTGGCTAACACTTTCCCCCCCAGGCATCCGCCTGCGGGAATGAAGCAGCATTCACAACAGCCAAAAAGTGGAAATGGCTCAAATGTCCATCAACAGATGAAGGGATACATAAAACGTGGTCCATCCATGCAGCAGAACATGACTCGGCCATAGAAAGGACTGAAGTCTGGTAAATGCCACAACAGGGATGAGCCTTGAAAACTAATGAACGACATCAGTCACAGGTGAGTGCTGAGCGCCTAGCACAGGATGCCATTCATATGGAGTGTGCAGGACAGGTACGCACAGGGACAGCAGGTGGGCGCTGCTGGGCGCTGGGGGAGTGACTGCTCGGGTCTGGGGTTTCTTTTTGGTGTAATAGAAATGTTCTAAAATTGATTTGGGTGATGGTCACAAACGGAATATATTTGAAACTTTATATGGGTGGATTTTGTGATGTGGATTATATGTCAATAAAGCTGTTAAATTTAAAAAAACTGATAGGGAAGGAAAATTGCCTTCAGGCCTTAGGACAGAGGCGGCAGTGTGCTGAGGGCCACCCACACTAGCCCGGCGCCTGGTGGGCACCGAGGCTTCAGATTCCCCTGCCCGCCTGCCCCCCCTGCGGAAGCCCCACTTACTCAAGGCTGGTAAGGCTCCTGTTGTGCTGCAGGGCTTGTCCCAGGGCCTCGGCAGCCCCCGCCTGGATGAAGTTCCACTGCAGGCTGGGCAGATAGGCAGACGTGACCATGTGGCCCTGGGCAGAGCCCAGTAGCCTCTGGGGGCTCCAGGAAGAGGGGCTTCTCCCAGGAGTTTGATGGCTGGGGTGGAGTCCCTGCAGGAAGGGGGCCTAGCAGCTGATGGGCAGACCCCTGCAGCCCTCCTCAGGCTTAGGCTCCGAGGGCTCCATGAGCAGTCTCTGCTTAGGGGTGGGCACAGGGACAGGCTCGGATAGACTCGAGACAGCTTCTGCACGAAGCGTGTGACACTCAGAGGCGCAGCCGTGGGTGCCCACCCTCCACCTTTGGCCTCTCTGCGGATCAGCCCAGGAGGTGGAGTGTGGGGGCAGGGTGCAGCTGATGGGAGGCTCTGGAGCCTGCGTGTGGGGAGGTCTGGAGCCAGATGTGGTCTCCTGCGTCAGCTGGTTTGCACGTGGCCCTGCAGCTCTGCAGAGGGGACGGGCTGGGGGGGGTGCCGTGGACTCACTGAAGGGATGTGAGGGTGCGGTTTTCCCTCACTGCTGCCGCGATGGCCTGGGCACCCTGGTCGTGGAGGAGGTTGGCTGTCAGGCTGGGAGGAGGGGAGTCGGCGAATAAGTAGGAGCTGGCCATGGAGCCCCCGCCCCTGCTCACCCAACATCCCAGATTGCCCCCCCTTCCCAAGGACTGCATTATGCCAGGCAGGTGCTTGGACTACTGTACGGAATCCTGACAGCCCCACAGAGGGGGGCAGGGCTCAGCTCAGTGAGGTCCCTGGACAGGCCACCTGCCTGGAGGTAGCAGAGCTGCCAGGGGCGCCCTCCTGATCCCTGCACTGGGAGGGCGTGGCCCCCATGGCCTGGCCCCTACCATGTCGCCTCCCGGGGCAGCCCTACAACCTCATCCTCATGTGCTTCGCCGAGAGTGGTCAGACTTGTGGACTTGTGTTGGGGTTGACCCCTGACTCCCAGTGTGCTGGCTGCCCTTCCCCTGCCAGGGCCCGCTCCAGCCTTGCAAAGTGGCTTGGGGATTCAGGTCTAGCCCATCAGCCCGTGCTCGGGTGGACGAGGCCCTGGCATAACAGAGCCTCTGGGGCACAGCCCCCGCCACGTACTCCAGGTTCCGCAGGACGTTGTTGGTGCAGAGACCTCGAGCCAGGTCCTGGGCTCCCTCGGGGCTGATGGAGTTTTCTCGCAGGCTGAGGAAAGAGAAGGCCCTGAGCCCAGCAGGCAGACATTGCCTCTGGGGGACAAGCCTAGGCATTTGAGCTTTCGAGCCCAAGAAACTTGAGGTGGGACTTACTAAGCCTCCGGAGTGACTGGGCTGAGGTTTGAGGAGCTTCCAGCAAGCCCCGCCCCGACCGATAGCCGGCCAAGCTCTCCCCTGGTCTGCCACCAGTGGCCGGCCCCAGGGCAGGGGATGAGAAGACAGGACTGCAGAGGGGTGAGGGCGGGCAGGCCCGCGGGCCTGGGGGCCTGAAGGGCGTGTGGGGAGCAAGGGGGCAGCAGAAGTACCCGCTGAGGGCACAGCTGCCCTTCCCTCCAAAGAGCAGGAGCACAGGAAGCCAGGCTCCAGAACCAAGCTGCCTGGGCCGCAGGCCTTCCCCATAGCAGGTGCTCAGTGTAGGTGTGGCTTCCCAGCACCGGCCTTTCCTTCCAAGCCCCGAAGTCCTTATGGGGCCCCCTGGCTAAAGGGGAACCCTGGCTGGCAAGGGAAGCCGGGACTTACTTGAGGCTAAGGAGGGTCCGGTTGGCGCAGAGGGCCCCCATCAGCGCTGCCACTCCCGCATCACTGATGGAATTGCTCTGCAGGCTGCAGACAGGACGGGGCACTTGGCATGGCGGTCCCAGGACACGGAGGGAGCCACTGGTCCAGCCTGGGACTGCAGGTGCTGGGCTCAGCAGGAGCTGGGAGGCCCCGGGAGCAGGGGCCTGCCCACACTGCTCTGCTCATCATCCTTTTCTCTCCCATTCCCCACATTCTAGACCCTACTTATGTCAAGGCAGGTGGGTCTAAGAGTAACCAGCCCCAAAGTTTAGACTCTGCCTTGATTTGGGTGGCTCCAAACAGCCTCTGAGGGGAGTGTGTGGTATCTGCAGTCCCTGAGAGAGTGGCACAGCTGGTGAGAGAGCGGTGCTAAGCTCCCCGACCCCCACCAAGGCCACGGCTGTCCCCTCTCCCTCCCTCCAGCCTCCTGTGCCTGCTTCCCAAGGGCAGCGCTTGCTGTCACTCTGAAAACTCCAGAACTGACATCAGCCCACACTGTCCAGGGAAATGGAGCTGGTGGGCAGGGTGGGAAAAGTGGTGTGGGCATGGAGGGAGACCCACTGAGATCCCAGTATGCCCAGAGTTAGTGGTCGGTTGGATTCTGGCAGCGTGGTGGCCCTGACAGCCCTTCCCCAGGACCTACCACCTTCTGGATGGGTAACCCAGGGGAGTCACCCTCTGCCCACAGCCACCCCTGGAGGGTGGCCAGGCTGACTCACTCCAGGCTCTCCAGGCCCTGGTTCACCTTCAGGGCTTCAGCCAGGGCCTGGGCACCTCCATCACCAATGCTGTTACTGGAGAACCTGTGAGAGACCAGACATGGGTGAGCTGGCACCTGGAGCAGCCCAGGAGGTCGGGGCCTAGGGTCAGAGGGCTGCCTCTGTTGTTTCAAGGGTTCCCAGGCGGCAGTTTGTTTTGCCTGATGCTGGTTGGCCAGGAGCCTCTACAAACGACCACCTGATGTCTATAAGAGATGGAGGTAATGAAGTCCTTGACTCCTGGGCAGGGGAGCAGGGCCAACCCTTTAGTGTGAGGTTTTATGATAGTTTATGGGAAATTGGCCAAGAATTGCTGGGAAGGCAGTAAGTGTGAGCCTGAGACAGTCCCGATCCTGCGAATCTGGGTCCCCATTCTCCTGACCCAGGGCTTTGGAGTCCAAAGCCAGCTATCTTGTACCCACACTTCCATCCATCCATCCACAGACCCATCCACTCATCCAACCACCCATCCATCCATCCGTCCGTCTGTCCGTCCGTCCATCGACCCATCCATCCATCCATCCACCCACCCACCCTCCCACCATTCGTCCATCCACTCATCCGCCCGTCCATCTGTCCGTCTGTCCGTCCGTCCGTCCGTCCATCCATCCATCCATCCATCCATCCATCCTTCCATCCATCCACCCACTCATCTACCCTTCTATCCATCAATCCCCATGCTCACAAATATGGTGGGCTGGGGATTGTGCCGGTCACTGAGAACACACGTCACCCTCCTGCATTTCTCACATGAGCTCCTTCAGACTTCTGTTCTGCTTCAGCGCGTCCGCCATGCACTGGGCTCCCCGGGGCCCGATGGTGTTCTTCTGCAGGCTGTGGGGGAGGAGAGGGGTCTTTCAGCAAAATTGGCCTCAGCCATTGCGTTCAAAGGACAGCCTGGTTCAAGGTGAGAAGCCTCTCCATTTATCACAGCATGGTGGGGAGAGATCTCTGGGAAACGTCTGTGGATTGTAGCCAAAGTAATGCCAATAGGCTGACATTTTTATATGGAGAGTAAGAGGCAAGGAAAGTTGGGCCCTCTTTTTTCAGAAGCTGGAAAGCAGTGACCAGTGGACACTGATAATATCCAGCAACCTCCTAAGAAAGGACTTCCACGTACAATCCCTCTGGCCCTTCACCCCTTTCAACACTCAACTGCCTACCTCCATCTAGACCAACCAGCAGTCTGTCTTCCAACCCTACAGTCCTTCCTAGGCAGACCCTCCATTGAGGTTTCCCCCTTATGCTGAATCTGGAGGAGGGGGTGTTATAGGAGAACCCCGTGCTTACCCTAGGACAGGCAAGGCAGGGCCTCTGCTGTGTGAGGCTAGATACAGCCTAACAAAAGGGAATTTTCCCCGGTCCTCTTTCCTTAGAGCATTTCCTTGGAAAACCTGTGATCATAAATCCATTCTCTGTCCCCTTGATAAGTATGTAAATCTTCTTAAAAGCTACATAAACCTCTCACCAGGTTTATAGTCTGCAGATATCCTTTGCAAGGGCCTTGGAGCCATCTCTTTGAAAGCGTACACATTGAGAAAGATAGCTCTGGCTACAAGTTGTAGGTGCCTGCCTGTCATACAGATAGGAGAAGTTTTATTTTCCACACGGGTAAAGTCAATTAACAAACACCAATGGCCACCCCAACTACCAGGTGAATTTATGATAAACTGCATGTGACAAATGGTGTTGTCCAGTCCTTCTACTTGAGGACAAGTTGTCATTTATCTTGAAAACATGTCAGTTATATCTGCTCAGCTCTAGGAAACGGGGAGATTCTGCCTGAGCCATCTCATTGGTGGATTGCCTGTGATGTGCAGTGTAGTTTAGTTGAATGCTTACATAATAACATGGTTTTGTTGTTTTGTACATCTGTAGGGAGGATTTTCTAGGTTGGCAGAAGGCTTTATTTTTAATTATTTCCCCAACATTGTTCTCTGGAAAAGCAGTGGACATCGAGATTCCCAGGGGCTATCCAGATGGGGCAGAAAGCCTTGGGACCATGTCGCCTCTACCTTCTCTGCAGAAAACAGGCTGAGAGGTCCTTGGAGGAGGAGAGGAGAGAAGAGGGGAGGGCCTGCCACCGGCATGCCTACTCACTGCAGCGCGGAGAGGGTCCGGTTCGCGGCCAAGGCCTCAGCCACAGACCTGGTACCATCATCTCTGATTGTGTTGCTCTGGAGGCTGTGGGGACAAGGAGGGGGCCTGAACCCCCTGCAGTGTCACCAAGGCCCAAGGAGGCAGCAGCTGACCATGGAGAGGAGGGGTCTGACCAGCACGTCAGCCTCACTGCCTGCCAGGTGCCCTGGCTGGGGCGCACGGCCCCTCCTAGAGTGGCTCTGGCTCCCGGTTTCCCTCTGGGTCTCTAAGCATTTGCCTGCTGACTGGGAAGAAGGTGTTCCTGGTATCTGGATAACAGCAGCTAGGTTATCAATATTCCTAATTCCTGCTAAAAGCCACAGCACACAGATGTTGACAGGGATGTGAAGAAATTAGAACCCTCATCTGCTGCCAGACGGAGGAATGTAAAATGGTGCAGGTGCTGTGGGAAACAGTCTGGTGGCGCCTCAAAAGGTTAAACATAGAGTTGCTGTAGGACCCAGCAAATTCCACTCCAAGGTGTCCACCCAGAATTGAAAACAGGTACTCAGATATTTGTACACGAATATGTACAGCAGCATTAGGCACACAGCCAAAAGGTGGAAACTACCCAAGCGTGTATCAGCCGAGGAATAGATAAACAAATTGTAGTCTATCCATGCAGTGGAATATTATTTGGCCACTAAAATGAATGGAGCACTGACACCTGCTACAACATGGATGAACCTTGAAAAAATTCTGCTCTGTGAAAGAAGCCAGACACCAAAGATCTTATTGTGTGACTCTGTTCATATGAAATCTCCAGGGTAGGTAAGCAAGGAGAGAGGAAGCGGACTGGAGGGGAGGGGAGGATGGGGAGTAACCGCTGATGGATTCAGGGACTCTTACAGAGTGCTGAGAATATTTTAAAGCCAGACAGAAGTGATGCTGCGCCACTGTGAAGACAAGTGCCATTGAACTGTACACTTTAAAATAGTGAATTTTATCTCAATGAAAATAAATGAAAAAACAAAACAAAATAATGATACACACTCAACTGAGGACGGATACAACCACAGGCCCCTAAAAGGAGCACAGCCAGTCACACCGAACCAAAGGAACTTTCTGGAAGATGGACTTTTCAGTATCCTGGAAAACCCTTCTAGGGGCCATTCTGACCCCATGACCTTGGGGATTTCCCACTCAATGGGGGACAAGAGGCATCCCTCACAGATTAGCAGATTATTTTATCTTTCCTCCAGCCCTTTCTCCTCTGTCCCCTGCTCAGGTGGTGAACACAAGTACAATGGCCGGGGAGAGCTGGGGTGTGGACACCTGCTTAGGATGCAAGGTCCCAAGGTGCCCCCTGGGATGGGGTCTGGCCTCTCACACCTACCACTCTCCATGGTTGGCATCTCAGCAAGGGTTTTCTGGGCCCTCTCCTGGGACAGCGGGACAGGGAATAGGTGACAGACACATACCTCAGAGAGGCCAGAGTGCGGTTCCTCTTCAGAGCATCTGCCAGTGCCTTGGCCCCTTGGGGTCCAATGGAGTTACTGCGGAGGCTAGCGGAGGGAATCCAGTTCTCAGGGCGGCGGGAGCCACAGAAGTTAAACTGACCTTTATGTCTGTCCTTGGGAAGAACTTACTGGGGTTTAGGACTTCATGTTTGGTGAAACTGGGGCAGAGAGATTATTTAAGGGGACAAGGAAGAAGGTCCCCAAGATGGCCCCATGTGATATGGAGAAGAAAGCAGATATGCTGGACTGGGGGGCTCAGGCCCAGTATAGAGGAGGGGCGCCACCGCCAGGTCTGGGCCGATGCCCCAAGAGGGCACCCCACCAGCCGAGGAGGAGCTGTGACTGTCGGCTCAGCTGTCCTCCCAACCCACCCGGGAGAGTGTGGCCTAGGGGGCCTCCCAGGACACCTCACAAGCTCTCCCTGTCCCAGTGGTGAAAGGTTGGCCTTTGGTGTTGCGCTTACTCCAGAGCCGTCAGACTTGTGTTGACCAGGAGGGATCTGGCCAGGGCTTTGGCGCCTTTATTACCGATCTTGTTCTCAGCCAAGCTGCCCGAAGAGAGGGAGGGGGGTGGTTACTGTAGGCTGTAAATCTCGCCTCTTCCTCAACACCAAACCCTTAGGCGTCCCCACTTGGACACTCGGAGACGTGGGGCACCCTGGAGCAGGCAGCCAGGCCTGGGACAGCCTCTGAGCAGGTGAGGGGACCAGAGTGGGCGGACAGACCCTTCTGTGGCAGCATGTCCCCAGCACAACAGCTTCTACAGCAACAACTCAGCAAAGAGGACAGGCGGTTACAGAACTCTACCACGTGGATCCCAGCCAGCGTGCTGGAAAACTGGCCCTCCCGGAGAAAAACAAAGTAACGTATCCCGATTTACGGCACTGGCCAATTTCCACAGTGTACATCCTCCCAGCAGGGCCAATTTCATCACTCCCAACTCTCAAAAATTCTTAAACATTTGACAATCAGCTCTCATGAACTGGTGGCCAAACTCATAGCTCCAGCACACCACTGGCCCCAGCCCTTTTCTAATGCAAGAAACAACAAAGAAAAAAAAAGGACAATTTCATCACTCCTAACTTTCAAAAATTCTTGAACATTTGACAGTCAGCTCTCATGAACTAACTGGTGGCTGAACTGATAGCTCCAGCACACCACTGGCCCCAGTAGAGAAACTAATGCAAGAAACAAAAAAGAAAAAAACAGTTAATACAGAACTAACTTTCGAGTAAAGGAATGTACATCTGTGTCCACCTTGAAAGGGCGGCCCGGGAGTGTGAGGGTGAAATCGAGTCACTGTTGCTTCCTGGATCCAGCGTCAAGAACAGTAGCTGATGAAGTTTTTAGTTTCTTAGGCAATTAAAAGTGCATGGCATCTCCATGAGCTACAACCAGGATCCCCAGGGCTTCTCAAGTTGTGTTTTGAGGTCCTCTAAGGTTCCTAAGAAAAGCTTCAGGAGGCCGAAAGTATCTGGTTCTGGGACCCCACCCCCTTTTCTTTCATTGCCAGTGGCTCCCTTTGGTCTGTCTGTCCTATGGGGGTTCTGCCTGACATGTCACTTTAAAAAATGGCTCTGTTGCACAAAACATGAAAACCATTCATCCAGACCACCTTTCATATAAATGTTCTCAAGTTCTATCCAGAGAGCTGTCCCCTCCCACCACCTAGGACTGCTATAATATTTAATAAGTCCTATTTCATGAGCCGCGTGTGTTTTCTGAGGGATGCCTTGGACATCTCCAACAGGGGTGCGGCACTAAGGCCCAGCTGTGGAAAGGCAGAGAAGAGCATGTGGCCATAGAAGACATTTTTGTTTTTTCAAAAAAATGAGCACTATCTAGACTCCTTGAAGCAAAACACTGAAAGTTGACTGTTTTGTTGAAGGCTCCCAGGAAGGAAAACATAATAATGAGAAGTTGTCACTGTCATGTTCCTTTCAAAGGGATTACATTTAGGTCATTTTTATAAAGGTCATTTCAGACCTGGGCTCTTCGGGTCATGTTCCCGGCCCCCTCTTCCTAATTCCCCGATGGCCTCAGGTCATTACAACTACAGGCCAGGGTGTTACTCGGCTTTGGAAGGGTCACCAGAGGAGAGATTTCATAAGCACATAGATCTATTCTGCAGCCAGCATATAAATTTCATCTAACCACAACATTAAAGATGAAACGTTTAAATTTTTAATGTTTTACATTAATTTTTAAAAATTACATTTCTAAACTAAAATTTAAAAATGTTTAAATTTGTACTATTTGAGGGCAAGCCGAGAGAAGCTTAGAACTGGGCTGGCACCACACCAGACCACCGAGTGCTTAGAGAAGTGCTTCCCCATCACCAGAGTGCTGGTGACCCTCACCATTTCCTTTCCCTCTCCTTGCAGGTGAGGTACCTGAGCCTAAGGAACTTTCTGCAGTGGATGGCAATGAGCAGCCTGCATCCTGAGCCGCACACTTCACAGATGCCTCTCCGTGAAGGCACCACTGGCCAGCTGAGTGGCGAGGAGGATAGGAAAGGAGCCCGGACTGCACAGGACAGGTGGGCATCCCCGGCAGGTCCCCTGGGCCAGCGTTACCTGATCCTCTGAACGCGACAGTCCTTCCCACTCAGCATGCTGCCCAGCAGCTCCATCCCACATCCCCGGCAGGTCCCCTGGGCCAGCGTTACCTGATCCTCTGAACGCGACAGTCCTTCCCACTCAGCATGCTGCCCAGCAGCTCCATCCCGGGGTCCTGGAACTGGTTGCCGTCCAGCCTGGCCAGGAGGGAGAGCAATGGTGAGATAGTCCCGTCACCCACAGACAGGTGGGGTGGACCCCAGTGAAGGGCTGGCATGGGGCAGCAGAGACCACGGGCTGGGGGCCTTTCCCTGACCCTCCTCCAGAGCCAGTGAGCCATGCCAGGGCACCCACTGTGCCAGTGTTTTCCTGCCAATGTGAACGGGGAGGCTCCGTGATGTGAGCCCTGGGGCTCCAACCCTGGGTCTCCCCTGCAGCCCTGCACACCGTGGGACATGGATGCTGGCCCTCCTACTTCTGACGATGTGGGATGTGCTCTCCGATCCTGAATGGCCCTGGCCCTGAAGCCTCCAGCCCCTGCTAAGGTCCGGAGCAGTGGATGGAGGGTGGGCTGGGGGCGGAGCAGTGGGCGTGGCTGCCATCAGCACTGGGATGGCTCACAGGGTGTTATGGGTTGAATTGTGACCCCCAAAATGATATATTGGTGTTCTAACCCCCAGAGCCTCAGGAATCAGACTTTATTTGGAAATAGGGTTGTTGCAGATATAATTAGTTAAGCTGAAGTCACCCTGGGGTGAGGTGGGCCTGTACTCCAATATAACTGGCAGCCTTATGAGAAAAGAGGGTGCTGTGCCAAGACAGACCCGAGGCTGCGGCCGCCGGACAGAGGCAGAGCCTGGAAGGCTGTGTCCCCAGGCCGAGGACTGCGGCAAACCCCCAGGCTGGAAGGGCGGGTAGGAGTCTCCCCCGTGGGTTTCAGAGGGAGCATAGCCCTGATTTTCGACTCTGGCCTCCAGAACTGAGAGGGAATAGGTCTCTGCTGTTTTAAGCCTCACAGATTGCGGTCCTTGGTTACGGCCACCCCAGGACACTGATAAAGCGGGCATGGTGGAGGCTGGAGGGGAGGAACTTTCCAGGGCCCCCAGCTCTCCTTGGCTCCCCCTGCACACCCCATGGGCACCCACCGCAGGCTCCGGCAGTAGAGCAGCTGGGGCAGCAGGCTCTGGAAGACGCTCTTGCTGAGGAACAGGGACAGGTTGGCCTCCTGGGTGCAGGCGTCCGACACCTGCAGGAGGTAGGCCAGAGCCGCGCGATGTGCTGGGGCAGTCATCCTGGCCAGGTCGCCGCTTGCCATGGCCTCCTCCACGCTGCGGGCCAGCTCCGTGTGCTGAAGCTCGTGCAGGCAGTGCAGGACGTTGACCGCCCGGGCGCAGACTGCCACGTCGGGCTGCAGACAGCCCTGCAGGAGCTCGGCCACCTGGGCCCGGTAGCCCCAGTGCTCTCCCTGGGCCAGCAGGGAGCCAGCCAGCAGGGCGTTGACCCTCGGCGACAAGAGGCCTGAGAGGAAGCGCAGGAACACGTCCAGCCGCCCGTCCTCAGTCTGCATGGCCCTCTGGGCCGCACTCCTGAAATGCGTGAGGAAGCCAAGCCGGGGCCAGGACACGCCCCCCTCCATGAAGAGGTCGAAGACGGCCCTCTTGGCCGCACCGTAGTAGTACGCGGCTGCCGCGAACTCCTGCAGGGACAGGTGGGTGAAGCAGTAGGCTGCCGAGGAGGCCGGGGTGTCCTCCCGCTGCAGGAAGCAGCCGCACAGGGCGCCCTGCAGCAGAGGGAGGCCCACACCGAACGCCTTCAGGTCCGGCTCGTAGAACACGTACTTCTTCCTGATCAGCCCGTGGAAGGCCAGTCGGCCCAACGTCCCCACCATCTTGCGGCTGCCCTGGGCCACCTGCTGGATGTGAGGGCTTGTCCTGCCCTTCTCCTGCCCCTCCCCACCGAGAGCCGCCCTGAAATACCAAGAGTAGAGCTCACACAGGGTCCTTGGAGGCCACAGCTCTGCATCCTGGGGCCCCAGCCCGTGGCGGCCCACGTGGCCCAGTGCCAACCCCGCAAGCTGGCAGAAGGCTGGGACGGTGCACATCAGGTACAGGGCCCTGTCTGCCCGCATCTGGCTCAGGGCCCAGCCCGAGAGAGTCTGGTCTTCGGGGAACATCTGCTCCAAACACACCTTGATCTCCTCCTCGTTGAATCCCCGGATCTCTGTCATCCGGTCCACCAGGCCCCCTGGGATCTGGCCAGCCACACTGGGGCGGGAGGTGACCCAGACAGAAACCTCCGGGCAGAGGTTGCCGCGGATGATGTTGGTGATCAGGTGGTCCACCGGGATCTCCTTCTTGGGGTCTGTGCAGGCCGCAGTGCTGGAGAAGTCCAGGGGCGTCTTACACTCGTCTAGGCCGTCCAGGATCAGGAGGCTTTTGCTTAGGGCTGCCGCCTCCAGGCCGGACTCCCCACTGACGTGTGGGAAGACAGAGTGGACGAGCCTGTCGGCAGACAACTTCTCATAGGTGTTGAGGTCCCGGAAGGTCAGAGGCAGCACCAGCGAAAAGTCCTTGCCAACCTGCCCCTGGGCCCAGAGGTGGATGAAGTTCCTCACCAGGGTGGTCTTGCCCATGCCGGCCACCCCGATGGTGATAGAGATTCGGGGTGGGATAGACACCCGAGACAGAGGCAGGAAGAGCTGGTCCAGGGAGATGGTCCTCGCAGGGTGCGGGTCCCCACGCGTGGCCTCCACCTGCGTGAAGTCATGTTCCTTCAGCTGCAAGTCCGTCAGGCCCTCCGCCAGTAGGAGGCTAGTCAGCCTGGGCGAGGGACTGCCCAGCTCCGGGCTGCCCCCTGCCCTGCTCAGTACAGCTTCACGGTGCCTCTGTATCCTCGAGTCTGCAGACAGAGGCCAGAGGGGAGTGCTGACATGGTGGAGGGTGGGCAGGGAAGAGGAGAGCAGAGAGGGCCCAGGGGTACCCCTCCATCTGCCTACCTTTGTTCTGGGTCCCCAGTGGGGATTCTGATGTCCTGTTGGGTGTTTGCAGGGCCTGGGGGCCCTGACCTCCCTTCCCGGCCAGCAGGTCCACAAGGGCTTTCACCTGCTCTGCTGGGGAGCCAGTGCCGTGGCCCTGGCCAGCCTCCCCACCCGTCCACACCTCCTGCTTCCTCATGGAGTCTGGGATTGGCGTCAGGAGCTGTGATGAAAGCGCCCAACCATGTCCCCCCCAGCAGCCTGGGAACAGGTGGGTGAGCCGCCAGGAGTGGGCTGGGACCCCAGGACCCACCCTTTCTCCTTCCCCAGACTGCAGGTAGCCTCCAGGAGGGGTTGGAAAGGCAGTCTTTTTCTGGGTGGTGAGCTTAGTTCCCGATTCCGGGAGCCTTGCTCAGATGCTGGGGGCTGTTGGGTGGGAACCAGGGCCCCAGGCTCAGACCTGAGTTCTGCTGGGCAGGCCCCCTGGGCTCCTCGTGCCATAGTGTCCTCATTTGTGACCTGGAAATAGAGGTGATGTTATGAGCAGGTCCACTCACAGCAAGTGGAGAATGAAAGAAGCACCCAGTCTGGAAAGGCTGCAGGCTGTTAGGATTCCAACCCTGTGGCTTATGGGAAAGGCAGAACTGGGGGGCCAGCAGGGAGGGGAGAGTTGGCAGGGCACAGGAGATTTCAGGGCAGTATCCACTGCTCCGTGTGATACTAAGGCGGTGGGATCCCATCGTTATGCATTTGTCCAAACTCAGAATATACAGGGCCAGAGGCTCCTGACCCCAGGCAGCACTGCGTTCGCCTGGGGACAGGGACGTGGAGGTGCCGAGAGCCTAAGCCAAGCCCCACCCACCTGCTCACGCTGGGGACTTGGGTCCCATTGTCAAGGCTGGCCGCCCCCGCTTGCCCCTCCCTCGGCTGAGGTGGACACTTGAGGACCCTGAGTCCACCCTCTCGCCCCTCCCCTCCCCACCTGCAGCGGCACAATGGCAGCGCCTCCAGCAGGGCCCCAGGATACCAGGGGGCAGGGGTCGGCCATCCCTTGTCCACGGGTCTAGGAGAGAAAGCAGGGCACGGCTGGGCAGAGGTCACGCCTACTGCTCCAACAGCTTCAGCTCATTGAGATGCGTCCAACCCATCCCTTCCTGTGGGTCCCTGGGTGTCCGTGTCATTCATGTAGGAGGGGTTCAGTGGCTCAGCCCCAGGGATCCAGCACACTCCCCAACCTTGGACCCACATTGGGCTTCTCAGGCAGTGTAACTCAGGACAAACCTTTTTACCTGGAAGAGGCTTTTTTCCTAGCAAAAAGTCAAATAGTATTTTTCAGCCCTTGTGGTCATGGTGATGTTGGAGAGTTAACAAGTGCAGGGGATTCCAGGTGGGTGGTGGCCAGCGCAGCTGCAGTCACCTGGGAACGGAAGAAACAGGCCAGGGCGAGACCCTTCTTAGCACCCGTCTTCAGATCCTTCTCACCATGCTCCTCTTCCTTCTAAAGGTCAAAGCCAAGGGAAAACCAGATGGGATTTTGGTTGCAGTCTAGGTTAATGTGGGCATCACTGAGGTCTTCCTTTAGCTCCTTCCATAAAACTATTTTTCCATCACCCAGATCTGGCCAATTTCTTGTGTCTAAGCATTTTTAAATAGTGTTGTTGTGTGTATTTTGTTGGTATGAAAGAAGGCAATTTTGTATATTTTATCTCATGTCATCAACGTATTAAATACATTAGCTTTCATCATTTGTTAATTCTTCCAGGCCTTTTAATTATTGCAATATGGACAATTTCACCTCTTTTCTAAACTTATAATTCTTATTTTGAACAATGTTTTTTTACTTTGGCCAGACGCACTGCCTCCCCCAAGTGATGATGAATGGCACGCATCCTTGTCTTACTCCTGACTACCAGGAGCGGCCCCAGCTTGAAACATCGGGCCTGATGTTTGCGACAGGTTTCTAGAAGGTTAGTTCTCGCCTCTTGGAAAAGATTCCTTCAATCCCTCATTTCCTGTTGCAACTCAAATGACATTAAATAATGCTCACTGGTTGCAGACATTCTGCTGAGCACTGTACTTCCATCATTGCATTTTCTTCTTCTAACAGCTCTCCTTACTACTATTTATTTCTCTACCTTATGTGAGAGCGAGAGGATCACAGACATTAACGACTTACCCCGGGATGCAGCCCTGGGAAGCAGCTGAGTTGGCCCAGAAACCAAAGTGCCTCTGACTCCACTTGGGCTGTAGCATCTGCTGCCTCTTGTAGTATGTTTACACATCAAAAAAAAAAAGTTGGGCACATCTGCTAAGCAAGCAAATGACTTTTTAGCAACACTGAGGTACTCCCACGATGTATCTGCATTCACTCATCCAACTGGCAGGTATTTACTGAGGGCCCACTGTGTGTCCCAGGCACGGGGGTGTGAAGGTGGACCAGTTAGACAAAGCCCTCACCCTGTGAGTGTGGTGGGGATGGGGGATGATGGTGGAAAAGGAGAAAACGGCATTTTCCATTGTACGAGTCTTTTGGCTCCTTGGTTAAATTAATTCCCATTTTATTCTTGCTGATGCTATTGTGAATAGATTTGTTGTGATTTCTTTTTGAGATTGTTCATTCTACAGAAATGTAACTGATTTTTGTCCTTTGTATCCTGCTACTTTGGTGAATTCATTTATTAGCTCTAACAGTTATTTTGTAGAATCTTTATGGTTTCCTATGTAAAATGATCATATCATCTGCAAACAGAAATTATTTTACTTCTTCCTTTCCAGTTTGCATGCCTTTTCTTGCCTAATTGCTGGGCTCGGACTTCCAGTAGTGTATGGAATATCGGTGAAAGCAGGTAGCCTTGCCTTATTCTTGACCTTAGAGGAAATGTTTTCAGTCTTTCACTATTGAGTATTATGTTCACTGTGGACTTTTCATATATGGATTTTATTATGTGAAGGTATATTCTATTTCCAGTTTGTGAATTTTTTTAACATGAAATGTTCAATTTTGTTAAATGCTTTTTCTTTTCCTACACATCAAGATTATCATGTGTGTTTTTTTCCCCTTCATTCTGTTGATGTGATATATTATCTCCATTTTTCTATGTTGAGCCATCCTTACATTCCAGGAATAAATTCTACTTGAGTTTTCTTGAGGATTTTTATACCAATTTTCATAAGGGATATTGGTCTGTAGTTTTCTTTTCTTGTAGTGTGTTTGTTTAGCTTTGGTATTAGGGTAATTCTGGCCTCAGAGGATGAGTTAGAAACAGTTCCTTCCTCTTCAGTTTTATTGGAAAAGTTTGAGACGGACTGGTATTATTTCTTTAAATGTTTGGTAGAACTCAGCAGTGAAGCCACGAGGTCCAGGAATTTTCATTTTGGGGAGATTTTTGATTACTGGTACAGTCTCCTTACTAGTTATAGGTCTATTCAAATTTTCTATTTCTTTGTAATTTAGTTTTGGTAGGTTTTGTGTTTCTAGGAATTTTTTCATTTCAACTAGGTTACCTGATTTGTTGGCCTGTATTTGTTCATACTGTTCTCTTATTATCCTTTTTGTTTCTGTAGCATTGGAAGTTCTTTCTCCATTTTCATTTCTGATGTTAGTAATTTGAAACTTCTCTTTTTTTTAGTCCATCTAACTAAAGGTTTGCCTATTTTGTTGCTTCAAAAAATCAACTTCTGGTATCATTAATATTTCTCTGTTGTTTCTATTCTCTATTTTGTTTATCTCTAATCTTTATTATTTCCTTCCTTCTAGCTTTGGGTTTAGTTTGTTCTTTTTCTACTTCCTAAGTTGTAAAGTTAGGTTGTGTGCTTGAGATCTTTCTTGTTTTTCTTAAATGTGTTTATCAATGCAACAATGTATATCAATTTCCCCCTTAGCTCTGCTTTCACCAGGACCTATAAGTTTGCTATGTTTTCACTTTCACTCATTGAATTATTTTCTGATTTCCATTGTGATTTTTTATTTTATACATTAGTTATTTAAAAGTATGTTGTTTAACTTCTACACTATTTTTAGTTTTCCAGCTTTCTTTTTGTTACTGATTTCTGACTCCATCCTGTTGTGGTTGGAGAGATAACCTGGTATGATAGCTATTTTTTAACCTATTCAGACTTAATCTGTGGCCTAACATATAATCTACTTTAGAAAATGTCTCGGGCGCACTTGAGAAGAATACGCATTCTCTTGTAGGGCAGAGTGCGCCGTATGTGTCTGTTAGGTTTAGTTGGCTTATTGTGTTGATTCTTTTACTTCCTTATGTCCTCTGTCTGTTGTTCTGTCTATTATTGTGAGTGGGGTATTGCAATCTCCAACCGATATCATAGAACTGTCTATTTCTTCCTTCAATTCTGTCAATTTTTGCATCATATGTTTTGATGGTCTGTCATTATATGCATAATGTTTATAATTATTAATCCGCTTGCTGTTTCAAACCTTTTACTAATATACAATATCCTCCTTTGTCTTTTGTGACCCTTTTTGATTTCAAGTCTATTTTATTTGATATTAATATAGCTACCACTGCTCTCTTTTGGTTATTATTCTCAAGGAATATCTTCTTCCATCCTCTCACTTTCAACCTATTTGTCTTTGAATCTCAAGTGAGTCTCCTGCAGATACCATATAGTTGGATCCTGTGTTTTTATCCATTCTTACCAATATTCGTCTTTTGATTGGAGAGTTTAATCCAGTTACATTTAAAGTAATTCCTGATAAGAAAGGAGTTCTATCATCGTGCTATTTATTTTCTTTATGCCTTACTGCTTTCTCCCCTTCATTTCCTGCATTACTATCTTCTTTTGTATTTAGTTGATTTTTCTATGAAATATTTAAATTCCTTTTTCACTTCCTTTTGTGTATATATTACAACTGATTTCTTTGTGGTTATCATGGAATTACATTTCACAGCCTAGCATCATAACATTCTAATATGAATTTATGCCAGATTAATTAACTTCAATAACATACTAAAACTTTACTCCTTTTCAGCTCTATCCCCACTCTGTTTAGTTGTTGTCATAGCATCTTTATGCATCATGTGCCCTAAAACATAAACTAATAAGTCTTTTAAATTTATTAGTATCCTAAATTATGTAGAAAACCAAATTTGGAGTTACAAACCGAAGTTACTGTCATACTAGCTTGTATACTAGTATTTGGTTATTTTCTTTAGATGCAACAGTCTCTTAAATCATATTGTTATATGATATAAAGCACTGTTAACAATAATACTAATGTTTATAACTGTTCATGTATATACCTTTATTGAAATATTTATTTCTCCATATGGCTTTGAGTTACTTCTGTCTAGTGTCATTTCATTTCACCCTGCAGGACTCCCTTGAGCATTTCTTGCAGAGCAGGTCTAGTAGTCACAAATTCCCTCCATTTTTGGTTATCTGGAAATGTCTTAATTTCTTTTATTTTTAAAGGACAGTTTTGCTGGGTATAAGACTCTTGGTTGACAGTTTTTTTCTTTAAGCCCTTTGAATATATCAGCTTACTGTTTCTGGCCTCCAAAGTTTCTGATGAGAAGTCTGCTGGTAACCTCCTTGAGGATACCTTGTATGTGGCAATTTGCTCTGTCTTGCTGATTACAAGATTCCCTCTTTGTCTTTTGAAAGTTTGATTATAATGTATCTTGGTGTGGCTGTCTTTGAGTTAATTTTACTTGGAGTTTGTTGAGCTTCCTGAATGTTTTACAGTGTATTTTTATAGGGGAAAAAAGATAACAGAACTATGACAGATACCCTTTTTTTTCTTTTTTGGTATAGGATATCATTTTTGTCTAGTGACACTATCAAAAATCTAGGAATCTATGACTGGGATTAAGGAATTGTTTCTTATTTTTTGAATATCAACTGCTTACATTCTGTTAACAAACATATATTGCTTTCTTCCTCTCCTCTTTAAATAGATTGCTTACAGAATTATAAATGTAATGGGTGCTCACTAAACACATTTAGATAATACAAAAGTAAGTAAAGTATATACCTCACTTCCATTCCCCAGGGAGAACCTCTTCTGTTTTTTATTTGTTTATATATATGTGTGTGTGTATAACTTAGGTGCTAGTGCAGATAGGGCAAGTGAAATAAATAAAAGTTATCAAGATTAGAAAAGGAAAAAATAAAGTTGTCATTTCACTGTTGACATGATTATATACATTAAAAATTCAAAAGAATCTACAATTGAGCTATTAGAACCAATACATGAATTTAGACAGGTTTCTGGACACAAGTTCAGTATACAAAAAGATCAGTTATATTTCTACTTACTAGCAACAATCAAGCTGAAAGTAAAATTTTAAAGTACCATTTAAAAAAATACCTAACAATAAAATAAGAATAGATATAGCAAAAAGCATGTAAGACCTCTATACTGAAAATTATAGACAATACTAATAGAAATTAAGGAAGACCTAAAGGAGGGATTTACTATGTTCACGGATTGAAAGACTTAGTAGTATTAAGAAGCTGATTCTTCTTAAATTGATCTATAGGCTGAATGATAGCCTAGTCAGAAATCCCAGCAGGCTTTTTTTGGGGAAGGTAGAAATTGGCATGGTGATTCTAAAACATATATGTAAATACAAAAGACTCTGGAATAGCCCAAATAATTTTGAAGAAGAATGAAGCTAGGGGACTTACACTATACAATATTAAAACGTAGTGTCGAGCTATCCGTGACTGGCACAAGGACAGACAAATAGACCAATGCAGTAGAATAGAGGGTCCAAAAACAGATCCACGTATGTATGGTCACACCTGATTTACAACAAGGACGCCACCTCAGTGGGGAAAAGATGGCCTTTGCATTAAATTGTGCTGGCTGATTGGATAGTCATATGGAAAAAAAATGAACCTTGACCCCTACCTTACACTATATATGAAAATTAATTCAATCTGGACCATAGATTTAAATGTGAATGCTAACACACTCAATTCTTTAGGAAAAATATAGGAGAGTATCTTTATGAACTTGGGCTAAGTAAAGACTAAATGGAACATAAAAAGCACTAACCATGAAAAAAATGATATATTGGAATTTGTTAAACTTAGGACTATCTGTTCATTAGAAGACAACATTCAAGGGGGAAAAAGCAAACCACCAACTAGGAGACGATGTCCTAAACAAAGAAAGAAACCATCAAGAAACAGCCCACTTAGAAAATGAGCCAACAAATGATACATCACAAAAGACAATATTATTAGTCATCAGAGAAATGCAGATTAAAGTCACTTTGGAGAAATGTTTGGTAGTAATTAGGCTAAATATACATATTTCTGCAACTCAGTAATTCCCCTTCTAGGTGTATACCCAACAGAAACGGGTGTTTATGTTCCTCAAAACAGTACCAGAATGTTCATAGTGGCTTTATTCATAATGTCTGAAAAAGCAGAAACAACCAATGTCCATCAACAGAACAGGATTTTCTTTTTTGGCATGTGTGTACAATAATCCTACCTGGTAATGAAAAAGAGTAAACCACTGACATACTATGGCTGACTCTTGCAGACATGTTGAGTGAAAGAAGTCTTAAACCAAAGAGAACACATTCTGTGATTCCATTTACAGGGAGTTTAAAGTCAGCCCCAACCAGTCCGAAACGATAGAAGTCAAAATAGTAGTTATCCTTAACAGTGCTTCTGATTGGATGGGGGCACGAGGGAGCCTTCTAGGGTTCTGGAAAGTTTTCTATTAATCTGTATGTGTACACAGAAGTGTATACCTATATAGATTGTTCTCACTTGATATCTGTAAATTGTATGTACCAATTCAAGTTATACAGAACAATTTTTTTTAAAAGTAATGCTAGCAGCTTTGTAAAAATTCAAATGTACGTAAACCAAAATGAAGCAATGCTACTGCAGCCTCTTAGTGCATGAGGCCCGGGCGGCCATGGCCCCCTGTCATGGTGTGCCCAGGGGCACTTAGCAGGTGTGCTGGTGGCAGAGGTGGGGGCCGCATTGAAGAAGCGCCAGGCTCAGTGCTTCTCAACTCCGGCAGGACATTGTCTGGAGCACTATCTTTCTTAATTTAATTTTTTATTGTGATAGAATATACGTAATGTACAATTTACCATTGTCGTCATTTTAAGTGGACAGTTCAGTGCTATTAAGTACACTTAAACAATGCTGTGCACTGTCCCCACTGTCCATCTCTAGAACTTTTTCATCCTCCCGAATGGAACCCATGCTCATTAAATACCAACAGCCCTTCGCCCTCCGCAGCCCTGGCAACCACATTATACTTTCTGTCTCTGTGAAATGGGTGGCTCTAGGGACCTCATATAAGTGGGATCATAGAGTGTTCATCGATTCGCATCTGGCCTCTCTCACCGAGCATGTTTTCTAGGGTCACCCGTGGTGTGTAACGTATTGGATTTTCCTTCCTTTTTAAGGCTAAATACTACACTATTGCGTTTTATGGAGAGAGCAGTTTATTCATTCGTCTGTTTATGGACACTTGGATTGTTTCCACCTCTCGGCTCTTGTGAGAAACGCTGCCGTGAACATGGTGTACAGGTATCTGTTCGTATCTCTGCTTTTGGTTCCTTCGGGTGTTAATACCCTGAAATGGGACCGCTGGACCCTACGGCCACTCTGTGGAACCCTATTTTTTAAAAGCCGATTCTCAGTCCCACCACCCAGAGTCTGGGGCAGGGCTTTAAAGCTACCAGGCGATTCTAATGAGCAGCCAGAGTAGAGACCCACTGGGCCCGAGGGAGGCTGGGAATGTGCCAGAGGAGGCAGGAGTGAACAGAGAGGAAGAGGCAGGGCCTGCGCGTGCCTGAGAGGCGGGTGGGGGCGAGCTCTCCTTCCTGATCGGACACCCGTCTTTCTTGCCCTGCTGTCCTTGGGCCTAGGGTTGCCAATTTACCAAACTAAGATACAAGACACCCAGAGAAATTTGAATTTCAGGTAAACAGCAAATAGTTTTTTAGTATAAGTATATCCCATATAATACTTGGAACATACTTTTACTTATGGAAAAAACCTTGTTTATCTGAAATTCAGTTATTAATAGGATGTTCTATAATTTATCTGGTACCCCTACTCAGGCCACACTCAGATATGACCCCTCCCTGGCCTGGCCTTCACCTTTGGACACCCTGTCCCAACAGGGTCAGAGGAGGAGACCCAGCAGTGGACCCAGAGCCAACCCATTCCCATGACCTCCAGGGCCAGCATGAGAGGCTGACGATTGGTCTCCTCTGATGGGGCGGCTACCTGGCCACCTGTGTGGACAGGCCTTGCATGTGGCCACAGAGGCCACCCCTGCAAGGGGGAACCTACTGCCCAGGCCTCTGGGTGGGGTGAGGTCGGGTGGCCACACGTGCCACAAGGGATGGTCAGGTAGACCTTGCCCAGTGCAGACAGCCTCCAAGGAGAGCAGCAGGTTGCCCTGCAAGCCCAGCCTAAGGAGGGGAGGCAGGGTGCGTGGGCCTTGGGTCACCTTGGGGGGGGTCTGTCTGCAGAGAGTCTGAGCGGCAGAGGTCAGGGCAAGGCCAGACAGATACCAGTGCTGCCAGCTCCCCGGAGCAGGGCTTCCCCACTCCTGTGACCCTCTGTGGGGCTGGGCACGGCTGGCGGCCTGTCTCCCCAGTGTTGGTGTCGCTCAGATCCCATCTCTCATCTTGACAGCTGGGCTTCTGCCATGTCCTTGAGAGACCTGGGTCCTGATTTAATCATCATTTCTGCTACCAAAGCTCCATTTTGTCTGCTTCCCCACCAGGGGCCTCAGGTTCTGCGGGCCTGTGTGCGAGCGGCCAGCCCCTGCCCTGCCCACCTGCACTCGGTAGCAGCATGGGCCCCTGCAGTGCCGACCTCTGCGTCTCAGGCCGCAGCTTCTTGGACGCTCCTCTCCTCTGACTTCCTGCCCTTGCTCTTGCTCTGCCCCTCAGGACCCGAGAATCCAGTCCTCAGCGCTGCTGAGGTGGCCCCAGTACCATGGCTGCTGACCTCTTGAGACCAGAGAAACTTTCCTAGGGGTGGGAGGAAGAGGCGCCTTCACCCCAGGGCATGGCCCTCCTGAATGCCCTGGGCCCTGGAGCCCCAGGGGGGGCACGGGGACAGGCTCGGCGCTGGAGGGCTGGTGCCCCTGGGATAGAGGAGGGGCGCCCACCCCACGTCCCCACCGGGAACCGGCCGCAGGAGGCCGTGGTGGCCAGGAAAAGCCTGCTTCGCCATCGAGGGAGCCGGCAGGAGCCGGCAGGCCCAGAAGCCTGGCCATAGGGGAGTACCCCATGGTCAGCAGCCACCCCTGGCCCTGCTCAGCAGGCCTCTATGGTTACTGTGCCCCTCGATGTACTGCCTTCTCCATCTGAGATTGTGGCTTGGGGAGGCCCCTGGGGGCTCTCACTCATCACGAGGGCAGCATTCAGGGAGCAGGCACTGGGTGCTGGGCCCCACGTGTACTGCCTCCCTTGGCCCTCAGACCCCTGGGGCAGAAAAGGTGTCACGATCGGAGCCCAGTTCTGCTGACTCCCACGTGACCTCTGGGCCTCAGCACTCCATATCCGTCCTGCCGGCCTGCACAGCTTTCTGGCTGCTTCCTGCTCGTCCTAGCCCGTCCCTGGTACCTGGGGAGCTGGGCCGTGTCCCCTCCGCTCACCTGGCTGTCCTGGGTACATGTTCCTTTATTCCATGCTGGGAAGTAGTCCTGCTCAGCAGCTCCCACACCCATGGGACAACTGGAGTCGCTGCAGCCGCCCCTCCCCAGAGCAGCTCAGGCCCTAGAAGTCATGGCCTTCCTGCCAGTAGTCTCCTCTTCCTCCCCCATCCTGCACTAAGGCAGCCTGACTCAACTTACCTTCTGGGCCTTGTTGCTCCAGGGATGCCAGGACTGGAGGGCTGGGGGGTGCTGCATCCGGGAGCTCAGCCCTGCTCCAGCAGATGGGGGCAGCTGGCAGCAGTGGGCGTGTCCTGAGAATCTGCGTGGCCAGCCGGCTGGCCCTAAGCCTTCAGGATCTGTCCGGGGCGAGGATGAAGCCCTGTGTGAAAGGACCAGGAGGAGCTGACCCTGCAGGGCAATGTGGCCCGCCAGCTCCTGCAGGGCCCTGGGCCCACTGCGTGTCACGGCAGCTGGGGCTTCTCACCTCTTCCTGTGCTGGGCTCCACCTCAACCCTCCTTCCTGTCTGATTTCAAAATCCGACAGCCTCACAGACAGATCGGTGGGCTGTGGCTGCCTTGGGCGGGCTCTCTGGCCGTGTTACCTGCCCTGTAAGTCAGAGGCAGGGGCTGCCACCAGGGTCTTGATTCGCGGACCCCGATAGACTTGATGCTCAGGAAAAGTAGTCCAGCCAAGGAGACAGAGGGACAGACTCAGTCAGCAGACCTTTGCTTTTCGGGGGGTAGTAGGGAAACCAGGTGGGCAGGAGAATGTTCAGTGACTTGCCTAAGGCCACACAATGGGCAGCTGGCCTCACCTGGCTGGACCGAGTCTTCACATCTGCAGGCAGGCTCTGGTACGGCTGTGGTCCCCGCTGCCCTTTCTAACCCCCTGCCTTCCTTCTCTCTGGCACCTAACAGGCATCTTCAACCCAGCTGTCCCCTGACAACATCTTCCTGTGAGTAAAGGGCCCCCGAGGGAGTCAGCTGCACCCTGGAACCCCAGAATGTGGCAGTATCCTCCAGGCCCTGCTGTGGACCTCAGCATGCAGGCTGCCCTGACCAGGAAGGTGTGCGGGGGAAGGACATGCCCAGAGTGAACCACATGAGAAAAGACATGACAGAGGGAAAGTGCAGGACCTCCCCCGGTGCCAGGGAGCAGGCCAGTCAATGGGGCGCTGCGAGCCTCGGTTCTCCTCAGCGTGCGGGAGCAGGGCGTGCGGGAGCAGGCAAGCAGTGGGTCCCTGTGTAGGCAGCGGCTGGGGGTACACGGAGGGCGGGGGCGGGCTGCGCTTGGATCAGCCTGTCCTTGAGAGCTGTGCAGGGGTGTTGGGGGGCGGGGAGGGCCAGGGGCCGAGTGGAGGGGCTCCAGACGCCCACATCCTTCCCTGCCCTCCATCGGTGCTCTCTGAGGCCCAGACACTTGAGGTGCCAGGGACATGCATGCCCTAGAGAGGCCTGCTGAGGGTCCAGGCAGGCGGAGCGCAGACCGGCAGCTGCAGCCTTGGCCATGGCCGTGAGGTGCAGCAACGTGTCTAAAAGCAGGCTGCCCACAGGATGTTGGAAACCGCAGGGGCCTGGTGGGTACCTGTCATATGAAAGAGGCCAGGAGGCCTCCCTCCCCCTCCCTCCACAGCTCAGGGGGATGGACTCAGAGCATAGGAGGGAGCAGCCTCCTCTGAGGGACCTGGGGAGCGTCCCAACAACTTTGCTCCCCACTGGGCAGCGATGTCCATGGCTGCACAGGGCTGGTCCCGGGCTCCCTCTGCCAGCTCCTCTGTGGGAGCTGGGGGCCTTTCTCCTGACTCTCCTGGGGCTGTTTCTATGTGAGGTGGGGTCTCCCATGGCCGTCCCCTCTGGGGCTTTCTGTCCCCCAGAGCTGTGGTCAGCCAGGCAGGCTGTGGCCTCCGCCTCTCCCACCTCAGCAACAACCTGAGGTTTCCTGTCTGCAGGGGTGGGGGCCTTTCTCGGGTTGTGCAGGCCCCTGGGGGCCCCTTGCCTGGGTCCTGCTCGAGCTGGTCTCTGGTCTCCTTTGACTGCCTTGAGTGGCCATGCCCAGGCTGTGGCTGGGCCCCAGGATGTGGGACGGCCCAGGAGGTCTCGACGCGTCATGGCCAAGTGTGCGTGTCACTGGTTTTTACCGCAGATGAGCACTCTGCTGCCCCGGGGCTCCCTCGCACGGCAAGGCTCGGCTTCTAGAAGGCAGCACCTGTGTCCACGGGTACACGAGGCCCACTGCAGGCCCCGGAGATGGCAGCTCTTTGGCACCCTTTTCAACAATTAGCCAAGTAAAGTCTGAATTTTATGGAAAGGTCAGATTCTTTCCTCCATACCTCCAAGTCTCTGGTTGTGGCGACTTCTTTCTCGTTTTAACTTGCTTTCCCTGCTTTACACACAGAATCCGCCTGAGCTGCAGGCCTGGCCAGGCCCACTGCTGGCCCCTGCTGGCCTCTCGGGGGCGCTCTGGGCACACCCCACCTGGCCAGCAGCCCCCAGGCCTGGCCTCTCCAGCTCTCCCCTGGCCTTGGGCTTTTAACCTATTTTAAGCCCTCCCCCGGCACCTCCTTCTCAGCCTGGAGTTGGTCATGGTCTGGGAGTCAGACATTCTGAGGAGTGAAGGCTCCTGGGCCCGTCGGGGGAGTGTGCCCACAGCTGCAGGTCCCAGGCCAGTGTCCACCCCGTCGGAGTCCACAGTCTCCACCCGGAGCCAGTGAAGCAGGTAAGGGCCCCACGTCACTGCCTGCCGTAACTTTGTCTCACTTCCCTAAACCTGTCCGTATGGGGGGTCTAGCCCTTCAGATAAGAAATGTGGTACCTTTTGAATCAGGGCAGATTCTGTCTTCAGTGATCAGTGTGGAGCCTGTCCTTAGCTGTGCCGTCTGAGCCCTGGCCTCCAGTCGTCTGTCCCGGGGCAGCATGCACACAGAGGGCCAGGTCCTCTAATGGGACCCAAATTTGTGCGCAAGAAACCCCATTTCACCTCCCTGAATGCTGTGTGCCTGAAGCCCAGCTCACAAACCCCCTCTTCCAGGAAGTTGCTGCTTTGGGCCACCTGAGCACCGACCCTCACAACCTGGCAGGGATTGGCCAGTCTGTCTCCACTAGATGACAGGAGGGGCTGGCTTGTTTCTGACCAATCTTCCCAGGCCCAGCATGGAGACAAGAGCAGGCTTCCCAAACTCATCCTGTTAAATGCAGACTCTCACTCAGATGCCCTGGGTGATGCCGCTGGGCCACGGGCCTCACTCTGGGCATTGAGGGTGGTAAGTCGGCACTAGGTAAGGGCTCTCTTGATGTGGGCATCCGGGTAGACAAGCGTGGGTGAATGAACGAACATCAGAACCAGGAAGGAATGAGCCAGCAGGCCTGGGTACCCCTTGAGATAACAAGTAAAGGCCTGCAGACATGGGGGGTGGGCAGGAGGGGAGCTAGGACTGAAGCTCACAGCTGCTTGCCTCATTATTTTCTAGAATGTAGCATCTGGAAGGTTTTTATAAAGCCTTTTTGTGTTTATTGCACATCATATAAAACAGACTGCACTGCATCTGGAACAGATAAGACATTCACAAGGACACAGACCCGATCTGTCCTTTCTGGGCCCTCACCTGTGCTCACGCCGCCTGATGCCAGGTGCGGCTTTCACACACCGATGGCACCAGTGCCTGCTGGGGGGCTTCGGGGCTGTGCTGCGCCCTCTGCGCTGTGCGGCTCGGAGGCTGCTGGTGACAGGGCAGGTGCTGGGCCAGAAGGCCTGGGGCACGGCAGTGTGGGAGGCCTGTGGACATCTGACTGCTGGTGGAGGCCGGGAGGCCAGCCTGAGTGCCAGGAAGGGAGCCTGGGCAGGGTCCCTCTCAGGGCAGGCAGACCGCGACTGGTGCTCATGAGTGAAAGATGCCCCGGCCAGCTGGTAGCTGCCCACCACCCTCTGCACATGGGGGTCCAGTGGGGTGAAAGGGAGACAAACAGTGGGCACCCATAGGGAGAGGGGGCCAGGGGCCCAAAATCCAGTGGGCAACATGCTCGAAGTACTGCTCCAGGGAAGAGTCACGGATGCTGATCCGGGCCAGAGCCATCGTCACTCTAACGGGTGTGGACGAGGCCCCAAGGCCCAGAAATGCCTGTGGAGGCCTGGCTCGCTGACGGAGCCGCAGCCTCTCACAGGCTGCTGACGGCAGGGGAGAGGGAGGCAGGGACGGGCCCATTGGTGCGGACCCTCTTCTTCCTACCCACGGGCTGCCGCCTCTTTCTCTCCAGCTTCTCCTTCCGGGCCGCGGCGCTGGTGAAGGTGATGCAGTGGGCGTCCAGGAAGTCCAGCAGCTTCCCCATGGCCATGCGGATGCCATGCTGCCTCAGCTCAGCCTGCAGCTCCGCCAGCTCAAAGGGCTGGTACAGCAGGACCTTGCGGTAGAGCGCCGGCGTGGTGCGGATGTGACGCCACACAGCCTCCTCGGTGGCTGCTGCCTGGACGGCTGCCTGTGGCGCACCGGCCGCTGCCTCCTCGCCTTCCCCGTCTCCTGCACACTCAAAGGCTCCTCCAAACTCACTGGAACAACTGAAAAGAAGCAGACAAGGACACTCTGTGATGTCCCTTCCCTCCAGCCCCCAAGCCCAGGAGCCTCTTTGAGGGAAGGAGTACATTTCTGTGTCCCTTGTGAAGCCCAGCATGTGGCAGGCACGAACCCCAGGGCGGCAGAAGCTCCAGGATGGTGTGTGCCCGGCATTCTGGCCGCCGGCCTGAGCACCCTGCCTCACCCAGAATACACCACCAGCGGCCAGTCCCACGTGGGGAGCATCCTGTGCGGCGAGTACACGGGAGCTCCAGAAGTCAGCTCAGGAGGTCAAGGGGACTGTCCCTTCACCCAGCCTGGGTTTCCTGTAGTCCAAACCCAGAAGGCGACTGGGACTTCTGAACAGTGGCCATTGGGCCTCATGCACGCCAACTCTTGGACCCACTGGTTAGGGGGGCCTACGAAACCACTGGCCGTCCTCCCACTCCAGTTACCTTTGTGAGCTAAAGGAGCTGTCACTGCTGTCCAGAGAGGAGGCTGTGGACTCCTGGGAGGCCGTGAGCTCGGTGTCACCATCAGGGCCTGGACGTACCACCTCGGCTGGTGACATGCCCAGCAGGGGTGTGCTTCCACCAGGCCACTGCTTTCGATGTAGGGGGCCCTTGGTCTTAGCAGGTCCCTTGGATCTCTGGGGAACAGGACCAGAAGTGGCCTCCAGCTGGACATGGCCAGCTGTCCCTGAAGCCTCAGAGGTCTTGGTGGTGTGGCTCTGGCTGCGAGGAGTCCTCAGGGGCACCTCATCCTCGGAGTCTGACCCCAGCGTCTGGTGAGTGTACTGGAATATCTCCTTCAGTTTCAGGACCATCTGCCGTTTGGGCAGAGGGCGGACCCCAAACCTAGGTGGGAAAACAGCTGAACTTCAGCAAAGAGCAGTTATCAACAAATTAAGGGCTTTGTGTATTGAAATCTTAAATGCCTGACTTTTGTGAGCATTCCGAGGTGTCTATCCTGTGTGCCAACTGAACTTACTCCCAAGACTATTCCAGAAGGGCCACCCCAGGCTCTCAACAGGTGGTACTGATGACTTCCCTAGTGCCCAAGGTGGAGGGCAGCTTTCACTGGGGTATGATGGTTTGATGTTCTTTTAAAAAATCTCCTCACTCAGGCCGTTAAGGCAGGGTCCCATGTCTACGCACATGGCACTGGGACCTATTCCCTGAGGGGTGACCTGAGGGAGTCCCATCTCTTATCTCCTGGGGCAATTTGGGAGCAGAAGGCAGAGCTGGTGCTCACACACACGCCTGCCCCAGCTGCTTCCACCCACAGAGCTCGGGGGGCCCCGGGGCGGATCTTCAGCTCCCAGCCTCGCTGAGCCCGGTTGCATGCTGGAGGGAGGGGACCCCTTAAGAGCAAGCTTTCAGGATCAGCACTGACCTGTCCAGTTCTTTCTTCAGTACCGGGGTCTCCATGATGGAGTATCTTGGCATTGGGGTTATAGGCACTTTCGGGGGCAAGTTCTTCTGGTTAGCACCTTCTGGGTAGAACATAAGAGACAAATTTCAGCATGAGGGACCTGGAGGGACCTCTTCTGACCCTGTAGTATCACCGAAACACCGCACTTGAAGAGCGCCCAGCCCCCATCTGCTTCAGGATGTGAGGCCCCTCCCCCCAGGCCCTTACTCTGGGACTGCTTGCCCATCAGAGGGCAGCTCCCAGCACAGGGCAAGGCCCCCCGGCCTTGTGCACGGCCGACGCTGTGAACAGGGCCGGGGGTAGGGCAGCCGGAGGGACTGCTCACGGGCTTAGGATTCATCTGGGGTGATGGCTGCAGAACACTGACTGTTCTGAAAGCCACCGAGGGTATGTTTTAAAGGGCGAATTTTATGGTATGTGAATAACATCTCAATAAAACCATTATTTAAAAAAACCCCAGCATTTTAAGGACAAATGGGACAACTTAATATACAGACTTTTGTTCTCTTTTGAGCATGGAGCACTGAGACTCCAGTGCAAACAAGTCTTTATCCCCTGAAAAGTGCACAGAATTCTTTATAAAATTTCAGAGTTTGTCCCCCTTGAAGCCCATTTCAGATTCAGACCCAAGTCCCCTGGGCTAAAGTTCTCATGGCAGCACCTGCAAACTGGTTAGAAATGCAAATTCTTGATGGCACCCGGACCTCCTGAAGCAGCTCTGGGGTGCAGGCTGCTCACGGCGGGGCTGGTCACTGGTGCCAAATTGGTCTAGGATTTCAGGAGGCAGTGAGAGGCCAGGTGGCTGCATGGGGCTCCCCACCCTGCCTGGCCCTCCCGGAGTCTGCCTGGCGGGGGAGGGGAGGCAGCAGCGCCTGGAGGGCCGGCGCCGGGGGCTCTGAGGGCCCCCCAGACTGAAGCAAGCCGGGTACTGACGTGCTTCCACAGGGATAAGGAATGACCAGGCTCACGGCAGACCTCCCACACAGTCCCGTCTGTTGTTTTAAACTGAGATGGAATTCACATAATTTTAAAGTGAACGACCCAGTGGCACTTCGTGCATCCACAGGGTCGCAGCCACCTCAGCTAGCTAGTTCCTGCATGTCTCCATCCCCTTAAGGGAAAGTCCACGTCCATCGGCAGTCACTCTCCGCCCCTGTCTCCCTCAGACCACTCATCTGCTTTCTGCTTCTGCAGATCTGCCTGTGCTGAACATTTCATGCAAATGGAACCCTGCAACATGTGACCTTCTATGACTGGCTTCTCTCACTGAGCATGATGTTTTCAAGGTCCATGCATGTTGTAGCATGTCAGTGTTTTATTCCTTTTCTTGCCTGAGTAACAGTCCAGTGTGTAGATATATCGTTTGTCTGTTCATCAATTGCTGGACATTTGGGTGGTTTCCACCTTTTGGCTACTGTGAATAACACTGCTGTGAACATCTGTGTGCAAGGATCTGTCTCAGCCCTGATTCAGTTCCTTGTAGGTATAGTAGGAATAGACTTGCTGGGTCCTAATGCCAATTCCACACTTAGCTTTTTGAGGAACCACTTTTACTGTTTGAGCCTGATCTTAAGGTGCATCAGCGGGGTTTGTCTTGGCCTTTTGGAGGGGCTGGCTCAGTATTCTGGGATGGGGGCCACAGGGGTTTTGACAAGTGCCTAGGCCAGTCATAGGATCCAGGCACGCTTAGGAAGCCCTGGCTTACAGGCTAAGAATTATACGTTTGACAGCAAGCCAGGGCTCCCTCAGCGATGCAGAGGGGTCTGGAAGGCAAGGGGAGGGGCTTGCTGCGGGCCAGCAGGCCCTTCAGCACCGCCACACTGACTGCCCCGTGCCCCTCAGGGTAAAAGATGGCTCACCCTCCCGCTACTCACTTGGTGTCTGTGGCCCTTCTGATTTTGGAACTTGGTCTACAGGAAGAACCTCTGGAGGCTTCTGTTCTTCTGTGTCCCAGTCATCCCACAGCGCTGAATTCAGAAAGCTTGGCCTGCTGCCTCCAGGGGAGCTGGCCCAAGAGGATTTCTCTTGAGACTTTCTTTGTCCAGAGAAGCTTTCTCGGATGGGGGTGATGCCCAGGAGTGCCGGGGAGTGGTGGTCAGCACTGCTTGGGGCCTCCCCTGCCCTACCGCCAGGGCTGCTGGTGCTCAGAGGGCCGGTCCACTCCAGGTTCAAGCGGTCAATGGGGATCGGTGAGAGGGGCTCTGTGTACCAGCAGCAGCTGTCAGCTGGGGCTGGGAGGCCACTGTCCCGCTGTGGGCTGCTGTTCGCCCGACGAGAGGCTGCCTCCGGCTCATCTTCGCTGTCCTCCACCTCTACCACTTCACTTGCTGTGGCTGGATTCAGCAGGCTTGGCCCAGGGGGTGAGTGCTTCTGGACGGTCCTGGTGAGACTGGCAGGGCCCCCTGGAGGGACAGGCACCGGGCATGGCGGCAGCATCTGGGGCACAATCACTGACAGCTTATTCGTGGCTTCGGGCCTGTCCCTGTTTTCTAACAGGACCCTGGGTTTGAGCTGAGCCGTTTGACCCTCTGAAGCCCTGGACCCCAGGCCCGTGATTCGGGTCTGCGATGAACAGTCACGGCTCCTGCTAGCTAGGGGGGTGGCGGGCACCAGCCATGAGGTGTCTGTCATGCTGTCCTCACTAGGGCTGCTCCCAGGGTCACAGAACAGCGGGGGGGTCCCTCTGCCACCCACAGGGCCCTGCTTCCCTGATGGCCCCTCCAACTCCCGCTGCAGTGCGGCCTCTCTTCTTGGTGGGCTTTGGGAAGGTTCCTGGTCTGCATCAACATCGATGATGGAAAACAGCTCAGAGGACTTGGGGCTCATTTCTAGAACTTTCCTTTCTCCTGGGGGACTATTAAAAGCAGGCATTGTCTGGGCTTGTTGTGGCTCTGGCTCTTCATCTGAATCCAGTAAGAGGATAATCTCCTCTTTGCTCCCACTGGGTGGAGAATTCTGAGGTCTGGAGCTGCAGTGGCCGGGTTCTAACTGGGCTGGGCCAACGGATGAAGGCCTTTCTGGGGAGATCAGGACCCCTCTGCTTCTGCATGCCAACATGGAGCAGCATTCTTTGCCTCTCTGGCAGCCTGGATCTTGAAGTAAGGCGAGAAGGCTCCTGCCCCTCTTCTGCTTCAGTGGTGAGTTCTGGGAGGCCACCCTGGGTGCTCCGCCCTGTGATTTGGGTGTCAGTGGGGCCGGGCCACTTGTGTGCTGAGGGCGAGGGTGTGGCCAGCCCGGACTCCTGCCTTGAGGGGGCTGAGACCGGGAGAGGCTTAGGTTTGAGGGGGGCGCCCACTGGTGGGCAGGCGGATGAGCACTCTCCAGCCCCCTCTCCCTGACAGGGCTGTTTTCTTCCTCGGGATCGTGCATGGTTTGGGACGGTTCAGGGTACTGAGCTGATGATAAAGGCTGTCCATCGTCACTGAAGTCAGCCGGATACAAGAAGGCACCTCCCTTTCTCCCTGCCTGGCAGCTGCGAGCAGGACCAGCGCTAGAGCGGCTCGAGGGAGCCAGTGCTTCCCCGGGGGGCCCCACTCTCTCCTCCAAGCCCGAAACCTGGCCCTCCAGGAGCAGGGCTGTGGACCGGCTCGTGTCCTCCCACCTGGCTGGGGCCTCACCGCTGCCCTGTCCCGACGAGTCCGTCTGTTCTGCGTTTTCCAGCTGTTCTTTAACCTGGGCCAGGATTCGCCCAGAAACTGGACCCTCCTCCCCAAGTTGGCTGGTTGTCCCCTCAACCTCTGGAGCTCTTTCCTCCTGCAGCAGCTTTCGCTGAGTAGCAGCAAATTCATAAATTTCTTCCATTTCTGCTTCATTCACTTTTTCTCTGTCTTCCTCAGCACCCTCACACCTCAACAAAGTCTCTACTTCTTCCTCTTCATCTCTCCACACCGACCTCAAGAGTTCTTGGAAATTCTCTGCTCTGCTTTCACAATCCTCGTTTTCCTTCTCCTTCCATCCTCTGCCCTCTGAATCCATCACGACAGGTGCTTGTTCACACAGGAGAACGAGCTCGCTCAGCCCAAATCTGCAACAGGAAATGCTGTGTGTCACCACGCCCCTGCCTGGAGGTGGCATCTGGGCGTCCCACAGTGGGTGAGGACCAGAGCACAACTCCTCATAGGCCGGGCCCTGTCCCCGTTCTCCTGCAAAGACAGTACCTGTGCAACACCCAAGCCACTAGGTTCTAGAAACAGACTCAGGCAGGGCTCCCTAACTCTGTGTGCAAGCATGAAGGGGCACCTTGGGCTTGGCCGAACACAGCAGGAATTGGTGGTGCTGACCTGCAGCACCTGCTGTGGCTGACGTAAACAGACCAGAGCGCCATGGGCCAGCCCAGTGGGAGCACCAGCCTGCCACTGGCCTGAAGGTTCCATGGCCTAATTGGTTCAATTAAATACCCAGATGCAACTAATAGAAAGAGAAATCAGGAAAACAATCCCATTCACAATTGCATCAAAAAGAATAAAATACCTAGGAATAAACCTAACCAAGGAAGTGAAAGACCTATACCCTGAAAACTATAAGACACTCTTAAGAGAAATTAAAGAGGACACTAGCAAATGGAAA